CACATCGATACTTTCATATGAAATTCATTGAATGAATAGATTCATAAGATGTTTAACGCCTGTTTTAATACAACGATAGATAATAGATTGTTGAAATAATTGAAAATCTTAGAGATTAGTGGTTTCAAGTTTTGGAGCAAATTATTACAAATATGAAGGAAACTTTAAACGATTTTACGATTACACTGATCCATTTTATCTGAAATTTTTCTCGATTTTTAATTCAAATGAACATTTCTTTATTCGATTTGAAAACAAAGAGATGATAATCGATATTACGATTACTTCATTCTTGCAAATTTGAGCGTCTAGTGAAGAGATACTTTTTAGTTTCATCCATATACATATACACTGAAAGAAAACTAAAAACAAATATCGAATTTATGTCTGAGAGTTAGTTGTTGCATTAAAAAAACTGAACATCTTCTTTCGAAAGTTATCAGATTCACAGACAGACAGAGACACATTCATTGATTCAACATTTGTAATCACTCTTTGCATCACTCTGGTCAAATAACTAACATCCACTGGCTGTGAACCGTAGTTATATTCATTCGAATTGGAATTTGTTCCAACGAAGTTTAACTCGTATTGCCGAACCAAATAGACTTCAAGTTTTGCAAAGAGAATTAAATAAAAACGTGTTTTTTCGATTTTAGTACTCAAATAAAACGGTGGGTTTCATTGAAAAAGCCAACAAGGTGAAATCTGATGATTTGGTTTGAAAAAATTATCTGGCGGGTTCCAGTAGAGATTTTCGTATCAGTGTTCTCAAGGTCAGAATTCCATACTTGATCAAAGAAAGCATTCATTCNGAACTAGAATTTTTTTTCTTTTTCAAAGCAAAAACAAAAATTTGTGAAAATGGAAAACTTGTTGAGCTGAGAAAAGACTAAATAAATTGTGACTGAAAAGATCTATTTTTCGTTTCTGTTTCAATTTCGAACGAAATCAACACGAAGAACTGGAAGGAAACAAATGAAGTTTTGATGAAAATGAATTTGAAAAGCTGATTTGTCGATAGAAAAAATTCTGTCGAAATTGATTTTATTTCGAAAAGAAACACAATTCTTTCTTTAATAATCTTTGCTTTTTTTCATGTAAAGATGCAAATTGTGATGAATTAAAGCGAAACATTGGAATGGATGAAGATTTTACATTAGAATGACGATTTTTTTCGAAAGATAAAAGGGATTTAGTTTTTTCTCTTTTTAGCAAAAAGAATTTATCGATGATCTTCATAAAGAAAAACAAGATTTTTCCAAATCAATTCCTTTTACTTGTTGTTCAATAGAATTTGTCGATCGACGAAAGTGAGAAGAATTGACAAATGGATTTGTTCTGATAATTATTGAAGAAATGTGTCTTGAAATGAATATTTTCGTATGATAAATATTTCTCATGCTAATGAATTTTGATGAACAGAGTGGCAAAAAAAGCAAAATGAAACAGTTCGAATGAGAAATAATCATAGAAAACAATCAGAAACAACATGTTCTTTCGATCAGATCGAAAGAAATGAAATTAATCTGCAGTGTAGTCAGTGATGATAGATGAACTGAAGATTTTTTTTCTCCGATAGCTTAAAACGTCTATTCATGTTATATCAATGCTTTATTTTCTTTTTATTATTCAAAGAAATTGTTTTGACAAAATTCTAAGTGCACAAGCATTTCGTTTCATAATTCTCATAATAATAAAGAAAGAAGACCAAATGTGTAGATGAGAATGAAAGATTTTTCATCGATCCTTGTCGATATCGCAAATAAAAGTCTCCTTAATAAAATACAAGGAGGATCGCAAACATTTGATAAGATATCAACAGAATTATTATAAAAAAAGAGACTCTTAGTTCCACTAAAATATAGAAATGCGATTGATCATCATCATTTCATCCTAAATTGAATTCCAAAATATATTTTCTGTATTTATTATAAAAATAATTCAACTTTAAATATCGAAAAGTATCTCATGAAATACATCAAATACTGATTTTACCGTCCAATATCTTCTCAAAAATATAACAAAAGATGAAATTCGTTGAAAAACACAGAAATGAATGAAACTGTTCAACATATCGAAACAATGTGAATACTTTCTCCAAATCTTCTTATTTTCGATCATTTGAATATTCTCATCGATAGCTTCACATCAATTTCATTGAATGAATATATTAATAAGATGTTTAACGCCTATTTTAATACAATGATAGATAATATATTGCTGAAATAATTGAAAATCTTGAAGATCAGTGATTTCAAGTTTTGGAGCAAATTATTACAAATATGAAGGAAAGTTTAAGCAATTTTACGATTACACTAATCCATTTTATCTGAGATTTTTCTTGATTTTTAATTCAAATGAACATTTTATAAACATTTCTTTATTCGATTTGAAAACGACAAAATGATAATCGATATTACGATTACTTCATTCGCAAATTTGAGCGTCTATAGTGAAGAAATATTTTCTAGTTTCATCCATATACATTCGAAAGAAAACTAAAAACAAATATCGAATTTATGTCTGAGAGTTAGTTATTGTATTACAAAAACTAAATATCTTCTTTCGAAAATTATCGGATTCACAGACCGACAGAGACACGTCCATCGATTCAACATTTACAATTACTCACTTTTTACATCACTATGATCACATAACTGACATCGACTGTTTGTGAACCGTAATTACATTCATTCGAATTGGAATTTGTACGAACGAAGTTTAATTCATATCGCCGAACCAAATAGATTTCAAGTTTTGTAAAGAAAATTAAATAAAAACGTAGTTTTGAGAAGTTATTATTCAAATAATAACGAATGCGTATGATTCATCTCAAAGATATACAAGTATATTATTTATTCATTTAATCGTAGCAATCATCATGAATTGAACGAGATTTTATCAAGTTTAATATCATTTCTTGATCTGATTCATTAAAATTCGTTTCATGAATATCAAAATTGAAACGGAATTTTTAATTTTGATTTAGTAGAAAATATGCTCTGTCTCTGTGAAGAAGAATCAACATAAAAAATCGCTTTGATGTTTCATGAGGAGAATTTTCCCCTCGACAAGACCTTTGTTGTTTTTTTCATGGTGTTTTACATCTTGATGAAAATATTCACTTAACATTTAATAGAATGTTTATTACAGACGAAGCAGCAGACGATGGGATTCTTTGTAGTTATATCTTAAAAGATCCACATGATGCGATTTGTATACAATGACCATATTATTTATATTTTGATCATAATCTTTCATTTGTCATACAGAATGAAATCATTCGTTGATCATTACGAAATTAGGAAAGGAAATATTCGAATGTGCATCTAATTTTAATGTCTTAAATGCTAATCTTCATTCTCGTATTATTCTTCTGATTAATCCAAATAATCCACTTGGTTGGCGACGTTTATTCCATTGAAATTCTTCTTTCGATAATAAATTTTGCTTCTGAAAATCATTTACATGTTATTATTAATAAAATCTTTGCATTGAGTACTGAGCTACGATAGTTTACGTGTTGATGTGGTGTACACAGAGGAATGTTGTTAGTGTTAGATAGATAATGGATACATCAATCTATCGAATTAAATCGACAGAAACTGACACAACAGTATTTCCAAGTAAAAATAACATTGGAAATGATTGAACGAGCCAAAATACGACAATCATAGGCGGATTTTTTCATTTGGATGGATTTAAAAGAATTTATGCTAAGAAATGCAACATTTGACGATGAATTGGAATTATTTATTTTATTCAACAGGAATTTTCCTTTTCAGACGAGAAATTTTTGAGTTGTAATGAAATAGGATTGTTTCGTTTGGTGTTTTCATTTAATCAAACAATGATCAATGAATTTTCAATAAAAACACTTGAAAAATGTTTTATAGAAACCCTTTCGAACTTTGAAACTAAATGAGAATATGTCATACCTATTCCTGCTGATTTTAAACTCTCCAAATGTTCTTATGCAAAAGTAGACCATTGTGACTTTTATAAGAATATGCACTTGTAAAGTGATGATGAATAACACTGTTTTGTAGTCGTGCTGACAAGAAACAGAAACATGTACTTTTTCTTTTTTACTTCATTTCTTCGCCTTCCATTAGACAAAAATGAGGAAAGTACGTAGTTTTATTTTCAACAAAGAGCTCACTTTTCGGTTAGACGTGTTTTCTCTAAGAATTTGATTCACAGTAAGTGATGAGAATGTTTATCATTGGATCACATTCACACGTTAGACTATTTTTAACCATTATAACAGAGAGAAAAAACCTGACATTGTGTTACTCACTTTGAACCATACAATTGAATCATAATCCGATCGCCGAGCTAACCACTTGAAATATTTTAATGAAAAAAAAAAGTACTGATTCATCAGTTTTCAATAAAAACACATCGTTTACAGAGCGAATAAATTGTTGTAGTTAGCTAACAGTTGTGCATGGGTTTGAAATGAGAGAGAATGAATATAAAATAGAGTGATAATTAGCCGTCAGTATACACTCCCAATATGCTCTTGTCGTTCGACAACCATACTTCGTATTTTCTCTTGCAACGTCATCTTCAGTATGTAAATACGAGAGAATAGCGAAATTTGATTGAATCGACTCATCATTGAAAATGGTAACAAATAATGAATACAATTCAAAGCAATCGATTGTATCTATTTCATCGTAAGGGTGGGTTCATTCAATTAATTAAAATTCTGTTTTTAATTCATTTTCGTATAAAAACTCGATTATCTACTACGTTATCATTCAATTTCGACCAAGTCACATCAAAATTCCTATTTTATCAAATTTCCATTCAGTTATGACTGTTGCTTGACACAGATTTTCTTCTTTTTCTGTTTCACTATATGCCAGGTGCAGTACGAAATTATTTCTTTGCTAACTCTGAATTTGTTCATCTTTAGAAGCAATTGTTGTCCGGTAGCTGTTTGAAAACAAACTAATATTTCAAATTTAGACGATTATTTTTGTATAGAGATGGCATCTCCTCCTCCGATGAATATGATTGCTACGTCTGTGTATGGATACCAACTGTCGTTGGGTGTGGGTATTACAGGTGTGATACTTTTCACGTTGTCAACTTGTGTTCATACTTATCAAATGTGTGTGACACGCATGTGGTGGCTCGTAGTGCTGATACTTGGTGGAATAATGGGCTATGTCGCACGCATTTATTCTTGGTATGATGATACTAGTCTCGATGCATTTCTTACTCAAACTGTTACTCTTATGATTGCACCATCATTCTTCTCAGCTGCTCTGTATATTGCTTTTGGTCGAATAATTTCTATTCTTGGTCGACAATATTCTCTATTACCACCGTTTTGGTATACTGTTATCTTTGTCATTGCAGATATAATCTCTCTTACTGTCCAAGCAGTCGGCGGAGGACAAGCTGCCGTTGCCGCCAGAACGAATGCTGACACATCCAATGGAACTCATATAATGGTTGCAGGTATATGCTTTCAAATGTTGAGCATGTCAATCTATGTGTTACTTGTCATAATCTATATGATTCGACTATTAAAATCAAAAGTCGAATTAACAAGAGATATGAAAAATTTTTTAGGTGGTATGAGTTTTGTTACGTTGATGATCTTTATCCGTTGTATTTATCGTACAATCGAACTGCTGGAGGGCTGGAGTGGTTATATCATCACTCATGAAGTCTATTTTGCATGTCTGGATGGTCTACCAATGATAATCGCCGTAGTAGCATTCAATGTCTTTCATCCAGATCGATATATCAAGAATGCAAGTCAAGTTAATGAGGTGAACACTGCTACCGAATTGAAATAACTTTATTCCCCTACTTATCTTGTGTATGAATCTAGGAAATAAACCAAGATTTTCCCAATCCACACGCTTAAATTTGTTCAATTATAGAAAATAGTCAAACTGAAAGACGCATATCACCTATTGACCATAAATTGCTGCCAGTATAAAAAGATTCGGGAGTGAATGTGCTGGCATATCAAAGTCATTCACACTCTTTATCTCGTTTTAACATTATTGAAAGGAGAGTCTATTAGTTCGTATCATCAAATGGTCAATTGTCCTCGAAATCGATATTTATTTATTAATAACTGTAAACTATTCCAATGGTAGATCCCGTCAGGTCCAAGTCCTGTGAAATTTTTCCAAAATTTTGCTGTTTCTTCTCAATAAAAGTCACTGTGAAAGTTCTCATATATGTAGAATCTCCCGGAATCAAAAAAAAGTAAAATTTTTTCATGCGTTCTTGCATCACTTAGTACATTTTTATAAAATTATACCGAAAGATGTAGTGCGAAAAGCGGTACGATATACAGGCATCAACTTCTTGTATTGTTCGACATTTTGTTGAAAGACTATTTTTCAAAAAAAAGAATTTTCTTGTATCATCTAAAATTAATCGCACAAAAGCAGAAAAGGCAGTCAGAGAATGAGCCACTGTTAGTCAATTGTAGAGCTTTTTACACTGCATCTTATAGAATATTTTGTTCCTTTTCAAACAATGTACTAAGTAACGCAAAAAGCACAGGACAAAGTATTAACTATTTTAACTCGTGGTAACTAAGAGTAAATCTATACATTATAGCAGAACGTTTTGATCAGTGTAGTAGATCTATTTTAAACTTGAGATCAACTAAAGCCCGGATTCGGACTCAAGGAGGTCTATTGCAATTGCTGCGTAAGAGTGTTTTGTTTTGTTCATCTGATTGTCGATCTCAGTCAAAAAGTCTTGTGACGCGTAGTAGCTATTTCTCAACTTTATAACGAGTTTGAAGTGCGTTTCAGTTGTATTCTAGCATTTTTTAGATAGTTTTTATCACTTTCATTATCATCTTGTTCTGAAACCGGTCGATAAATACATGGATATTTTCATTTAAACGGTGTTGTGCAGTAGAATATTTTGCTCGAAATTTTGTTTTGCATTATAAGAATTACGACAACATTGTTCAAATGATTTATGTTCTATGATATCTTAACAATTCGTTCTTTTCCTTGTGAAAACGAAATCATATTACAATCAGATATACAAGTTCAAGTTAATAACGTTGAATTTGACTTTAGAAAAAAGTCCTATTTAATTTATATCAATTTTGAAATAATCAATGTGCTGTGGTATGAAAAAGACAATGAACATTTGAAAATATGATTTATTCTTTTTTTGAAACGAGATTACTCGAGAGATCGGGTTAACTGTAAAATGATTTTCTATACAAGTAAACAATGAAGAAGAAACTGTTTTTCTTTCTCATTTACATCGACGTAATTTATGAATCTATTTGAAAGTGACACAATTTATTTTCTTTGTGTTAGGTATTCAATTTTTGTAATATGTTGTCAGCAACATATCAATCAAAGAATGATTTTCATTCGCATATTATCAGCATTAGTCTACAGGATTGGCAAACAGTGGATGAATCTAAACGCTATCGAACGCGAGTTTACGAAACTAGTAAACTTACAATTAAATCCCAAGAATTATTTCTGTACATGATGTCCCAACGAAGAGGAAGATTTTATTAGATCAAAATAGTCATCACAAAAACTCAATAAGAATAAAAGAAAAGAATGATTTTCAAACGAAATAGATCAAACGTGTTTAGGAAAATATTGTCTTTGTTCAATCATTTGTTTTTATCTATTGTCATTAGTGGAACATTACAAGAGAAAAATTTAATTCAATGAATCAAATCAAACGTATTATCATCCAACATCGTATACTATACAACACTTGCTTTTCTCCTTTGTGTTTCTTTAATTGTTACTCTTTGTATACTTCGAGATCGTTCTAAACGAGAATCAAAATCATTATATTGATTTAAATATATTCAAAATAATAATTATACTGTGTATGGGACTAAAAGAAGAGAAATAAATTACATCGTACAGTTCTTATCGTTTCATAGATTTTATTTGAATAGATAAGTCGTGATATTTGAAAGTATTATGATTATTCTTCATATCTCAAAGACCAGATGACTCGATTCTCTCACTTCAAAATTATCCTTATAAATGACTGTGTTTTTTTTACTTTTGATGTTTTTCATTGAGGTACGAGTAATGTTTATTTCCATTCTAACCACTATCATAGTTATTGGAGGTAAAAAATATTTTAACTAAATATTAAAATACAATTTGTTTTTTGAGTCATTTCAAAGGACTTATTAATGAATCAGTTGGTGGTAAGCATTTAAGAAACTTTCTTTTGTTTTTATGATTAATCTTTTTTGATCTTTTTGTATAAGATACACTTTCATCGAGTAATTATCTAATTTATTGTGCCAATGAGTCAAGTATGAAAGTAGGAAACTTCACTGCTATGGGTATTCATCCTTCATACTCTGATGACCCTTTACAAGTTTGGCACACTACTATCCCCGAAGTAATGCGATTGTTTCGTTTTATACCAGTAGAGGAAGGCGGAATACCGAACAATTATCGGATAACATCTCAATTTTTCGGTCCAACAAGATCACTTGTTTATGACAGCGATCAGAATTATCTCGGATTTAACCGAACTAATCATACGTCAACCAGTCAACATTGGCGTGTTGAATTGACTGATGGTGGAAATTATATGATATATCAAGCTGCTAAACCTCATTTGTATTTAACAAAATCTTATGAACCTTACATACTTACAGTTGCTGGCACCGAATATTTCTGCGCATGGTGTCTCATTGAAGAAGGAGATTTTATTGGAGTTAAACCTGCAGAATAAGAACTGCATAAATATTAAATAAAAGAAAATGATTCTTTAAAAATGTTGAGAAAAAGTAAATTTTTAACATTAATAATATAAAAATAAGCGTAAATATGAAACTATTTTGTTGATAACAATTAATTCCATCATTATAATATAATGAAAAATAAGCTTTTAATGTTATATAGCTTTTTGCTGAGCCACCTTGTGCACATGTTGTATATTTTGAATCTCGTTTGATGATCACCTATTTTCAACCCGGATCATTACCAAAAGTCGATTCATCCACATTATATATTGCATCGGGTGAATCAAATATTCGTAGTTTAGTTAAAAAATTAATTTCATACTTGTGACGATTTTTTATGGAAGAGATATATATTCTGCAGAGATGAGCAGCTCGGATTCCGAAGCCGGAGCGAGCTGAAATGCGCAATGCTTCGTGGACTCCGAATATTTTCTATAGTACTTCATTTAGAAAAGAGCTTAAAGTACTGAGAATACATCCTATTCCGCAATTTTGAACATTTGGGTGCCAGTTCCGCATCTGAAATCGATTCCCACCGATTCCGGAATTCTGTGATGTTATTTCTAGGAATTTTCACACACTCGGGAATTCCTTAACGGAATCATATCCTCACCCTCAAACATCATGATTTTACAAAAAGCCACAGGCATTCGAAAAGAGGTGAACTTTCTGCATCTTGCTATGAGGAAATGTTAATTTCGAATTTTTTTCGAAAAATCGACTTTTCTGGGGAATGGGATCCTAAGATAATCCTACGATGGGCCTTTATGTCAAGCATCTTGTTTTTACTAATTAGTATTTCTAAGGTATTGTTCTCAATTTGGTTTCTTCTAGTAAAATAAACAAGAAAAAGTACATAGCTATTCCTTAATATGAATAGTTAATTAAATTCATCACGTCATTCTCTGCCTCGGANATCTCAATTTTTCGGTCCAACAAGATCACTTGTTTATGACAGCGATCAGAATTATCTCGGATTTAACCGAACTAATCATACGTCAACCAGTCAACATTGGCGTGTTGAATTGACTGATGGTGGAAATTATATGATATATCAAGCTGCTAAACCTCATTTGTATTTAACAAAATCTTATGAACCTTACATACTTACAGTTGCTGACACCGAATATTTCTGCGCATGGTGTCTCATTGAAGAAGGAGATTTTATTGGAGTAAAACCTGCAGAATAAGAACTGCATAAATATTAAATAAAAGAAAATAATTCTTTAAAAATGTTGAGAAAAAGTAAATTTTTAACATTGATAATATAAAAATAAGCGTAAATATGAAACTATTTTGTTGATAACGATTAATTCCATCATTATAACTTAATGACAAATAAGCTTTTAATGTTATGTAGCTTTTTGCTGAGCCACCTTGTGTACATGTTGTATACTTCGAATCTCGTTTGATGATCACCTGTTTTCAACCCGGATCATTATTGCATCGGGTGAATCAAATATTTGTAGTTTAGTTAAAAAATTAATTTCATACTTGTGACGATTTTTAATGGAAGAGATATATATTCTGCAGAGATGAGCAGCTCCGATTCCGAAGTCGAAGCGAGCTGAAATGCGCGATGTTTCGTGGACGCCGAATATTTTCTATAGTACTTCATTTAGAAAAGAGCTTAAAGTACTGAGAATACATCCTACTCCGCAATTTTGAACATTTGGGTGTCAGTTCCGCATCTGAAATCGATTTCCACCGATTCCGGAATTCTGTGATGTTATTTCTAGGAATTGTCACACACTCGAGAATTCCTTAACGGAATCGTGTCCTCACCCTCAAACATCATGATTTTACAAAAAGCCACAGGCATTCTAAAAGGGGTGAACTTTCTGCATCTTGCTATGAGGAAATGTTAATTTCGAAATTTTTTCGAAAAATCGACTTTTCTGGGAGGATGGGATCCTAAGATAATCCTATTATGGGCCTTTATGTCACCCATCTTGTTTTTACTAATAAGTATTTCTAAGGTATTGTTCTCAATTTGGTTTCTTCTAGTAAAATAAACAAGAAAAAGTACATAGCTATTCCTTAATATGAATAGTTAATTAAATTCATCACGTCATTCTCTGCCTCGGATGAAATTTTATATTTACATGCATGAGAAGCCCTAAAAAAAAAAGCCAGAAAAAGAATTGTATTGCTCACAGCATATATTTCAACAGTCACTATCATACGCATACGTGAACTCATCATTTTCAATGAATAAATATCAATCTGTACGTATCACTTTTGTTCCAAAACCGAAGAAACATAATTTATCAACAGCCGGAAATAAGGTACCTTTATGACAAGTGCTAACAACGATAATAATATAATCGACTCTGTTTTTCTTTTTTATTTTCATAGATAATTCCTATGAAAGAGAGTAAACAGCAATATCAAGATGATATTCCTATTCCACCATCGTTATTTCATGTGACACCATGTACAATGTCACCTGATACATTTACATTACCATCAACAACAATGTCAACAACACAATTAATAAAAAATGAAACACAAAGATCAAAAATATTCTCACGAAATTCATTGTCAGCGTTCGATGTTGTCCAACAACCCGTGAAAAAAAGTATTAAGTATGTACTTGATAGATTAGCTTGTTTCTGAATTATTGTTTTCAATTTATTGTCAAATATAACGGATGCGCCATAAATAGGTGCTCCCTTAGTATTTCTGGGGTTTCTCCTCTATGATCTATGCGACGAAAATACTTTTTTTAAATTAAAAGACAACGCTTGGAATTCTCTACAAAATGGTGCATTTTATTTAGTGAATATACTCTTCTGAACTTTTTTGGATCGGATGTAATCGTACAGTGAAATTAAGTATGAAAAGTAAAATCTTTTCTTCTGTAACTTTTTCACAGAATGTTTTATTTCATCTATCAGTCTCAGCCCATAGTTGCAACTAGCTCACCTAATAGGCTACAATCTTTAATGATAATAATCGAGTGAATCTGATGATCAATGATCTCCCTAGATAATGCGGGAAAATGATCAACAGATTGTGTTTTGACCTAGAGAAAAATTAAATCTTAGAATGCAATTCAAATCTCATTCAAATCCAATAGAAATGAGTAAAATCAGGAGCCAGCAAAAGCCATTCAAATGAGAGGACTCAAGATCGAGATTTTCCAACTTGCACTGTCTCAGGTTATGCGTATTCAAACTATACTGAAGATCCCAGAACTTATGATAAATAAATAAAATTAATGCTGTTCATCATTTGAATTCATAATTTGATTATTTGGAATGACATTATTCCATCTAAATTGTGACAAAGTTTTATTGCAACATCATCATTTTACATTTACATTTAACAGCCGTTTGTATACCTTTAATTTTCATCCGTTCTCAAATATATATTTAAAGTGACTTCGAAGTTCAATTAAACATGCTTTTGTAGAGAATTTCGAGCACTATATTTTAATTAAAAACCTGTTTTTATCACAAGAATAATGAAGAAGAAATATTAAAAATACTAAGAGGCCAATTATTTACGGAACACCTGTTTACTTTATTACAGGGTTTTACGAAAACAGAACAAAGATAAAAAGAAAATACCTCCAACAACATGGCGTATTATTATTATTAGCATTATTGCCGCACTGATATTGAGTATAATTGCTGTTGGTATTTATCTTGCTATTCGTTTCATAAGATCAACAACAAAAAGTACTACAATAGGTAATCTACATAATGTTCTATCCGATCTTCTGCCTTTTACAAAATTTCGTATAAGATGATTTGTTTCATAGTTGCGAATCCTGTGCTGCGGTGGAATGTAACAGGCATTACTATAGCTGGCATCGGTGGTTCAGCTGGTGTGAACGCTAATCAGCTTAAANGCACGTCAAAATAATATTTTTTTTCTTTGGAATGTCAACGTACCATCCGACGTGTCAATGAATATCGGACGAGCAATATCACCGATATGACTGAAAAAAAGAAGGAGAGAGGAAACGTCAAATTGATTAACAGTGAAAACAATCGATTTTCTTCCTTGTGAGATTTCTTCGAAGGTTTGCTTCGATCAAACTTATGGCGGCAAAATCCGAATGATTTACTGTTATATATTTACTGATGATCTGAATTGTAACAATCGATAAATCAACGCATAGTCAATCGTTGATTTAAGATAGCACCAAGACAACCTTATTTACATTATTCTTTCTGCTTGCATTCTTTGTAAGTTTCAACAAAGAAAAGTAAAACCGACAAAATATACATCTTGAGGGTAAGAAAACTGCACAACGTAATGAAATAAATAAACTAATCAAAGTCATTCACTATGCAAATGATAAATAATCCAGAAAAGAAGTTTTTTCTTCACCAGCAAAAATAACTAGAACAAACAAAACTTATTCGATTAAAGATGAGTTGTTTTTTCTTTAGATAAGAAACCTGTAATAAACATTGACATGGATGATGCAAAAAACAATATTCCCATTGATCTTTGACATCAATCAATCAATGAGAAGTAAAATTCTTACAATCACATAGAAAACCAGTGCAACTATTTCCAATGATTGACTTGTTCGAACAAAATCGAGTGAACCCATAAATGCTGTATTTGTTGCATTACTTGGATAAGCACGAGCACTCCAATCAGCGTAACAATCATAGCCAATGACCTATATTCGATGAAGAAAAAGTTACACGTAAACGATCAATTTAAATAAGTAACTAGTATGTCGCATAAACGCCATATATCAACTTAAACTGGTGCTGCTGTATTAATAATCCAATCAGATAAGGAAAATGCAATGATAAAAAGAACAAATGATACAAAATACGATATCAAAGATACCCAAAGACTTGTAAGACCAATTTTACCAGATACACGAACAAAATTCATCCTTTGTTCTTTCTTTATATTCGTTCAAATGAAAGATGACAAAAAAATGAAAAAGGTCAATATCATTGATNTTAGGACGAACCAATCACTTCCTTCCAATACGTCTCACCATTTCAAACAGATATTTCCAATATGCTTCACCACTTGGTGCACATTGAGCAGGTATAGGATAAGGAAGCTTAGTATTTGGAAATTGCCACCTAAGCAATTCACCGCTGTAATAAAAGTTTTTGTGTATATCTAATGTCCATGAAAGACAATTTCCATATGTTAGACATCTGAGCTCTTCAGAAATAAAAGCATTCCATGCAAAAAGAAATAGTTAAAAAGGTCTCGCTTTAATCGTGTTCTAAAAGGGTAAAATAATCTCATCATCATCAAATTGACATGCTAATTATTCTTTTTAAAGTGAGGACTCATTAATTGAACTAAATAAACATAGCTCACTGCTCATTCCTTCGAAATCTTCCGGTATTGAGAGTACCAAAGCGGACTGAATAGGAGAAGAATCTGCTAAAACGCATAAAAGTTTCTCTCTTTACCAGTTCAAAATTTCGACGTGCCCCGAGAAACTGAGTATACCACTTTGTAGAGCGAGTTCTGCTCTATCATTTCCTATATGTCTCTTATTCTGGGAATTCCAAAAACTGGACTTTTATTGGTGAAAATGTCCAGCCATTTACTAGTAATTTTAAGGGGTATTTGCGGAGATCTATGAGCCCGTGCTCGTTCTAGAGAAGCTATGGAATCGAAAGCAACACAGCTCCAGAAAGTACAAATGAAGCTGAACAAAAATAGCCTATTTGAAGAAATTCCAGATAGAAAATATATGGAAAATAATAGTCCACAAAGAAAAGTCTCAAAAGCCACTAGTACATTTTTGTATGAAAAAAGCTTGAAAAGTTGAATTCTGGGAGGCAAGGATGCCGCGACATTTTGTGAAATCTAAATAGATCAAAATGATCGTCTCGTCGAGCTCTACAAACCCTGAAATTTTCGCGTTGAAAGGAGAACCTTCATGTAATGGTGGTAGAAACCCCATGGAAACACCCTAATATTTGTTTTTTCTCTTGATATCCATATTCAATCATTGTTGTTTATTATTGACATGTTTCATTTGCAGTAGTCAGTCGCTTCACTAGTATATTCTTGGATGCGGTAACTGTGCGAAAGATTGAATAATGTTATGTTTTAGATAGAACGAATTGTCATTATGGATGATGAAATTGAATCTGAGATTGCATCTGATAATTCAAATGAACTTGAAATAGGACCAAAGTTCGTTATTTCTATATTAATTTGCATCTAATAGTTCTTTTCTAGTGAAAGCGAAATGATTCATTGGACCAGACGGAGAAATTTCGATGTTCCAAAATCCAATTCGACCGGGATAATCTTGAATTGCTGTAAATGTTCCACTTCGGATAATTTCGATTCCTTTGGGCTCATAATGAAATAATTTGGTTAAAAATTGAAGAGAAATGTTTTGTTCATTGAAAAAGAGTTCCGATGAAATTAATTGACGAAGGAAATGTAAATTGGTTTCGATTCCCCAAAGATTTATTTGTTGAAGAACAAATGAAAGTTTTGTAATTGTTTCTTGCCGATTTTCACCATGAACGATAATTTTGGCCAATAACGAATCATAAAATGGGCAAATTTCAATTCCACTACAAATCCACGTATCAATTCGAATATCTTCGGTTGTTTTGGGAAATTCAACTTCAGAAATCTTTCCTACGGATGGACAAAAATCATTTAAAGGATTTTCTGAACAAAGTCGAAGTTCAACTGCGTGACCAAATGGTTTTGATAATTGATAAATTTCATCGATTTGTTCACTAAATGCCAATTTGACCATCCATTCAACCAAATCAATTCCGTAAATGATTTCAACTGTTCCAACGGATCGATAGTGAACAAAAGATGTCAATTGAACAGCGAAATTTCTCATTGCACATCGGATTTGCTCGGAAAGATTCATTGCGGGTGATTCTTCAAGTATTTTTTGATTTCTTCTTTGTAAAGAACAATCTCGTTCAGCAAATGAAACAATAAAACCTTTTCCATCGCCAAAGATTTCAATTTCAATATGTCGACCATTTTCCACATATCGTTCAAGATAAAGACCATCGTTGATTAAATATTTTTGTGCTGATCGTTGAAATTTTTCATAAAGATTTTCTAAATCTTTCTCATTCAAACATTGACACATTCCTTTGCCACCTGAACCTGCGGTACTTTTCAACATGACAGGATATCCAACACGTAATGCTTCTCGTTTCGCATCTTCGATATCAATTAAAAGGTCACTTCGAGGTAAAACTGGTAAATTCACTTCACACTAGAGATGTCCACAGGGCAGGGCAGAGCAGAAATAGGCAGGGCTGTCCTGCTAATTATACACGTGGATCATGAATCCATTAAAACAGTCTTTTTTGCTTAAAAATATTCAAAAATACTAAAGAAAAACGCAATTTTACCATCGAATAACCTCTAATACTGTTTAATACACTTAGTATAATAGTTTTTCTTCCTTCATAAAAACGGCATTTTATTGCTGTTTCAGCGTTTTTAGACATTGTCTGTAATCTACTGTACTGAACAGTTAATCTAAAGGATCTTTCAAGATAACATAAATTTTAGATGAAATCGTAGTGATCTTCAGAAGAAGAAACGATAGAATTCTCCTGAGATCAAAGAGCAAACAACTAGAAAAATAATAAATCCTTGTGATAGAAAAGTTTTGACTCGTTTCTACATGTATTTAGTTAGGTCTTCTTCTCTTTACTACTCTAAAAAATAGATCCCTGTTCAGAAAAAACTTATTTCTCATTTGAATTAAGTTATTTTGTGCAGGAATCAAAATGATAATACTAATCTTTAATCAATCGTCATTTCTCCCAAACGTTGATGCCATAAGTAGTCGAATAAATAACTGTACTTCCCAAAATTAATTATTGGACAACCGAACTGGAAGTATTATGTTGATTTCAAATCTAATGCTAGATAATCTGTTTTGTCGCATAAAGTTGTTTATCAGACTTCCTCTCGAATCAAGTCATACTGGAAATGAGGATCAATCGAAAATGAATAACACTAATCCTTTTTTTTAGTTTTTTTATGAGATAAATTTAATAAAACTGGTAATATTCTTTTGTTAAGTTTATTTTTACGTATATGTATCGAATGCTATCCTATTTATCAGCTCTACATATGTTGAATTTTATCAATTATATTGTGCAAAATACTAACTATACAATCTTAGTTATATAATGTATTCGCCCTGCAGGACAGGGCAGAACAGGGCAGGGCAGAGGTACTGCAGGGCAGGGTAGGGCAAAAAAAAGTGCCCTGTGGACATCTCTGATGAACACTATTTGTCAAATTCTCTCAATGTCTGATTGATTTTGATATTCATTCCGTCAGAAAATCATTCGAGTCAATCGATTAAAAACTAAAAAATAAAATCAATGTTTTGAATCACAAATAAAATATTCGGAAAATCCATTCGGTTTGAAGAAGCAGGATTTTGTTCGTTTGCCAATTGAACTATTACTAGGAAGAATACGAAGGTCACGAGCAGCAACTGCACGAACATGAGCAATAGAACGAAGGTCTGACAGGAGAAGAGCAAGATCTTCAGCCAAAGAAATAGCTCGAATTGGATCAGCAGAACGAAAATCAAAAAACACTTGACGAGCAGCACGAGTTGTATTTTCAACACAAAGATAATCTTTCCATTTACACACGCGATCATTTGTTTTGCAACGAGGACACTTATTATCTACTGATTCTATTGACGATTTTGAACTTGTTACTTGGCTCATCGTTTTCTTATGTTTGAAAGGTAAAATCAATTCTAAAATGAAAATGTTCGATGTCGATTTAAACAAATCAAATCGAGTGTTTTATTCGTTTCTCTCCTTCTTCCCCCAGCTGTACAAGAATAAAGCCTTTCAAGCAAATGAGTGCACTTCAAAATCAATGTGTTAACAAAAACAAAATTCTTTATTGAAAAAATATGTATTGGACAAAAAACATTCAACTCTAAACGTCTCATTTCAATTATTTTCTTTTTCTTGTTTATTTTCTCTCGCTAACCATCATGTTCATATGTAACCCAATGAAATTATCTTCAGTATTAGTGTAACTGTCACTGAAAAACGTTTTGTTACAGTAATAATGTCAACTACGGGCAAAGTTCTCGATTACGTTTAAAATGGGAGTTGAATGACTGGTTCTTTTGGTAAACACTATCCAGTAGTTTTCGTAATTAGCTATATTCTGATGAACAGTTGATATTTCTAATGCTTAACAAAAGAGCAAAAGTTGAACAGAATTTATTCTTTGTACTATATTTACTAGTCTAAAGTGCATCTGAAGAGTAATAATATCTTCATTGATCCTGAACTGAATGTATCGTTGTAAACATATGGTTTTGAGTTGAGCGATAATCATCAATCTCTCCAAAACATGAATTTTCTCCTGTTATCAACGAGTTGTTATGAGGCGCCTAGTCGAGTAAGTGTATGTTGAAAACAATGATTGCCTATTTCTGCAGTCCCGAAAAAGAGCATTTCACACCAGTTACTCTTTTCTCTGTGAATGACATATCTCGTCACTCGTTTCATAATTATTATTTCTATCTTGCAATCAACAGAATTCCAAGTCAATGGCAACCACAACGAATGAGCATGACCCCTGTGGTGTTATCTGGTTGTGGATGGTAATACTGATAACAACAATCCAAACTATCAAAACTCGATCACATAACTTCAACAAGTTGTCGATCATATCTATACATATATTGATTATGATCAATGTATAGAATTCATTCCTGATATTGATGATACAAAAGTATGTCTGATCATATCCGGATCAGTTGGATAATTCATATTACGATTTATTCATGAATCATGATCTACCGCAAATCGATTCGATTTTCATCTTTTGTGCCAGTAAAAATCGGCATGAACAATGGATATTGAAATGGTCTAAGGTAAAAACAGAGGCGTTCATAGACATCGCAAGAGAAAAGCATTTCGCAGAACGATGCCATTCGGTTCGGTTGGCCAAGGAAAAGACTTACATTCTTTCTAGACAAGAACTGTACAACTTTTTTCGACTATCTATTGGACTTTACAAACGGATAAACAGTGTCTAATCAACATGAAACTTGCAGATAGTTACTGTCTCTCTCGTTTGTTTTCTCTTTCCTTGTTCGTAGCGTGTTCTCTTGTGCGTATTTCGCGTTATTTAATTTTTTTGATAAAGTAATTGTGATTAGAACGGTCAGCGCCTTAGTTCCAAACTCGTCATTACAAAAATAATAAAAAAATCGACGTCACATATTCACTCGTTACTGTATTGTCAACAGGTGAGAGTAAAGAGGAGAACGAGGACGTCATCCTGGTGATGTATTTTTTTCTTTTATAAAAATCTCTTCCTCACGACGTGTTCTTTTTTAATCAAAGGACTGAAAGACGTCTTGCCAAGTATATTCGACGGTGCCAATTCGGAGTCTTGAAAAATATTTCTGTGCAGATAATACTTGGACACTAATAGCACATACAGTTCATTTGACTAGCAATTATTCACTAATTACGACGAACGCCTCAAATGCTATTCTCCTATGCGTACACGACTTCGTGTGGATAACAACAAATATCTACTAGATGTTCTCGAATGATTTATTTCTTTCAACTGTTGATGTGAAGAATAATCCATGGAAAAATCTCATCGAGACGCGTTGTAATCAAAATTCTTATTCTAAGAATGGCATTGAAATCTTTTCACTGTTCCATTTTATGCTTTGTTTACGATGAAAAAGAATCCACTGAACAATTATTTCATTTAATTTTATTCAGCAATTCATTGTATGGCGGATGGGCGCAGTGGACTTGTTCTAATCAAGGATTTTTTGACGTTGGTAACGTCTCCGAACTTATTTGAGATGTCGGAACCAACTAATACTGAAATTTTATCATTGATTGGTGATTTAATCCCACGACCATTCGATGTTCAGTATCCATTGGCGTCATTTATTGGTAAAAGAATTGCTTAACTCGTATTCCATTTAAATCAATTCCTTTGGTTGATTGTCAACTCATATCGTGTCAAATGCAACCATAGAAAAACAAATTTTTATTCGCATTAACTTCAACTGATATCTTTGAGAAATTACATCAACAATGTCGTTTGCATGAATTAACTATCCATAGTCCGCTATTTGCTTGTCTTCTCTTGATAGTTCATCATTGTTTTCCACTGGGTAAAAACATGAAATAAAAACCATTTGAAATTAGCAGCGCATTTGATATGCGTATGCGCCTACCTGAAACCCCATTAACTAGTTCATCAGTTAGGTTTTTTGTTGATCTGCAGGAATTAAAACTGAAAAAATCTTATTGAATTCATTCAACTCGATTTTGGTCATTGGCACTCGAATGAATGTCTGTAACTCGAAATGCGTTGAAAAAAGAAGGAATTCTATTGACAATGCACGTGTTTGCTGATCTCCTCAAAGATGGTCGTAATCTCCATGAATTAGGTCAACTAGAATCAGAAGGATGTGTGTGTGAACTTGATCATTCTAATCTTGGTAAATCTCCATTTTCATGTGATTATTCACAAGGAAATCTCAAAATACGAGGTTTACATCTGAGCAATAATTGCAATGCTTCTCATCCTATGGAATAAATATGTTTGTTGCTTGTGCGGGTGATGGTCAACTGGACTTTTCAATGGTTCATGAAATAGCCACTGGTGAGAAGGCGAAAGAGTTTTTCGATTACTATATTCGTCTTGTGGAAACATGAGCTGATCAGAGTTGTTGTACGAATGGAATAACTCATGGCAAGAGCATATTGTTGATGATGTCGAAAACAAACTTTGTCTTTTTTTGAATATGTCTACAATGAGACTGAATGATTGAGAAATCAATTATTTGCACTTTTTCGAGAACGTTTATGTGCTGAAATGTCTTCTATCAGAGAACTTGATAATCTGCCATTTCTCCGCTGGATATGATATTTTCAATTAAAATTATATTTTACGTCAATTTCTTCTCTTCGTCTATATAATTATCATTGAAAAAGGACATTTTACTATGCACTACAAGGAAAACAAGTTCAACTGTTATCATTATCAAATCAATGGTGTTGATAGTAAAGGACATAGTAGCAGATTTTTGGAATGTCTGAAAGCGTGGATTCAATCTGAGAAATACCATTGAAATCTAAATTTAACAGAAATTAAGATTTGTATTCATGTGAAACAATTTCATTAATCTCGAAAAGCGAAAAAGCAACATGCTGACATGATCATTTCTGCATCTTTTCAAAAACAGATTCCGAGAAGACAAACCTTTTTCTGTTTAACCTTAATTCAAAGTTCATCGATTTTGTTTCTTTTGATATAAAAGTACATGAGATGAGATAAACAACTCTTAATGAATTTCCTTTGAAAAAGAAATCTTTCGTCACTAGAGAATCTTTTATTCGTTAGTAAACTCGCCAACTTAAATGTCATCATGAAATTCAATTGTCTTCTTATAATCATTGCAAACGTATTTGTGTCGAATTGTTGGCCCAATTTTGATCTTTCTCGGTACAATTGAGTGTCTCTTAAATCTCATCATATTTTCCAGGAAAGCTTTAAGAAAAAATCCTTGTTCAATCTATTTCCTCGCATACAATCTGATCAATCTTCTTTATCTTTATATAAATTTTCTTTATCTGATCATAAGTGTAGGATATAATCTCAATCCTGCACTATCGAATGTAATCATTTGTCGTGTTTATCTTTATTTGACTGTGCTATTACATTGTTTAAATCAGTATTATTTAGTTTTGGCCTCCATTGATCGAATGTTGATCACGTCATGGAATGCGAATATTCGCCGTCGAAGTTCTCACCGTCTGGCATATCTTTCGATATTGTTCGGTACAATGTTTTGGATTTTATTCCAGTCATTCGTTGTTTCTGGTTACAATTCTTCAATATTCTTCATTTGTTTGTGTTTGTGATTTTGCTCCGGGAATTGAAATAATTTGTATCACTTTATTATACGATTATTGGCGAAAGTTTAGTTTATTGTTTTGTTGTTTAGATGTGGATTGTGTTTATTGAATAATATTCGAAAGATTCGTCGAATTCGAAATTTGACAAATCATTCGGTTCAAACTGTTTCGGAAAATTTAACAAAAGTCAACAATTCGAAAATCTCATTCGCAATTTGTGTCTTTTTAGTATAAATATTCCAGCTTGTCTTATTTTTTATGCAAAATTCGTCGCATCAAAAATATTTCGTCAATAAATTAAAAAGATTCTGACTTTTTCAAAAATGTGAACCTGATATCGAATAAAGACTTTCTTCGGTGGAATAAGGTAATGATCATTCAAACATTATGAGTGAGTGTCAAGTTGTGATAATGAACACATTACGAGATCACATAAACGATAAAAGGAATGTATGGGAAATGTGCGACATCTTTCATTCGTTCATTTCTTTTCTCATGAGTCATTTCATCAAATATTCAAAACAATCTCATTACAAATGGATAACAAAAAGAAGAAACATCTGAACGTAGTTTTTGTTGGCCTAAACAATTCTGGTAGATCCACTTTCCTCACTCAATTACTATGTAGATGCGGTGGAATTGATAAACGAACGATGATGAAATTGGAACGAGATGCATTACAAGTTAGAGAAACTGATTCTTTTCATGGAAATATTTCTTTTGTGTAGCTCGGAATGACTTCATTGAAATATTCTTGGATTCTCGAACAATTAAATCGAATGCGGGAACGAAGTATCAACATTCAAATTGAATTGAATCGATTTGTAACGAAGAACTATTTTGTTTCGATCAATGAAGAGCGTTCTACTGAAAGTTTCCTTCGACGAATAATTCTTTCTCAAGTTGGTTTTTTCTCTTCATTTCAAATTGATTTCCATAGCGAATTTTCTTAGATCGATTGCGTTGTTCTCATAATTTCCGCTCTGGAAAACAAAAATCAAATTCATGAATATGTTCAGCTCTGTTCTGCATTTNATTGAAAATTATATTGAAAAAATTAACATGTAATTATCAATCATCACCATATGCGTTTGAAAATTCCTTTGGCCGTTTATTATTGTATGATGCTCTTGGAATATCACTGATACTTATTGGTGAAACAGCTGAAGCCTTGCACTGGCTCAATGAAGCAGCAGAATTACAGTTAAACATGAACTTCATCGACGATGAAGCTTCGTTTATACGTTCTTTTAATATAGCTTGTATTCACAGAAAAATGGGGAACTATGTAGCAGCGTGGAATTTATGTAAAAACATGCTAAAGCGTGATCCTCAACCTTTTGACATATATGCTCAAATTGCTCAAAATGATGTACGGTTTATTGATCAAAGTGCACAGGATTTACCGGAATATATCGATGAAATCATAGAAGGTTACAGAAGAATCAGCTGGGACGATGAAAACGCAGTCAACTATCTTGAAAAGATAGTTTCTATTTTAATGACATATCGACCTAATAATAAATATGGCATTCGTGTGACCTACGAAGCTATTGTAAAAGAATATGAAAAACAAATGGATTACTGCTCAGCAATCGAATGGTCGAAGAAACTTGTACAAATCAATAAAGAGAATGACGCGATTCACACATATTTAGAAATTGGAAGATTCTATGGAGAACTCAACGAATTCCAAACAGCATTCGAATACCTGGAAAAATCGTTAGATTTATGTGTGAAAGTAGACAATGAAGGTACTTCGAATAAAAATCGGATTATCTGTAATCAATATTTCGCAGATATGTATTTGAAAAAAGGGAATTTTGATGAATCTATTGAATGGATTGAGAAGGCATTGATACAATTGATTAAAATAAGGGAAAACACCGTCACGCCATGGCATCTTTCGACGATAGATCATCAAATTGATAATCTACGAGAAAAGATTCTGCAAATTTCCTGTCATCAAGGTAAAGTCATATCACTATTCAATATATTTCTGTAAGGTTTCAATCGAGATTTTTTACCGATCCTTACGTTTGTTTTAGTATCACCGAAAACAATGGAAAAAGTCAACGATTTACTATCATTAATAACGTCAGTGTGCGATACAATATAAGATGAAATTCTTCGCTCAATCTATGCATTAGAACTTCATGTAAAAACCAGAAAAAAGCTTATGACCACTGTTCTGTATAGATGTTTTCAAATATGAAACACTCAGTCACTTGAAATGTATCTCGAGGACGTGAATGTTGGTTAGAATGAACTACTTATATCTTCAACTTCTCAGATTTCTATAAGGGACAATTATGAGAGTGAACGTCTTTTTTCACTGATGTTTATTACCACCCTCACCCTCAAGAAATCAGCAGCTTACAAAATATTGGTGAAAGTGTTCACTCTGATACAGATCGGACTGAATACAACAACTGTTAATGTGAGAATGAAATTGACTGATTTCATTTCGGAACCATTGCACAGATCTGTATTACAATAGTAATTAGCCGATCCATCTGCAGTTCCCGACCGAACATGGGTGTACGATCCTGTGCAACTAGTTGCGTCTGCCCATCGATCTACGAATAAAGAGTTGCTCAAATGTGTGGTTTTCTAAAAGAGAAAAAAGATAGTCATCCCTTCAATCGTATCCACTACCTACCATGCACACAGCATTCGAACTGTCTATGAAACTACAATCACTCCTTCACCGTTTGCGTCAAAGTTTGGACCACAATCACCCAGTATCTTCATAACAAATATAACACTTAAGAGTAGACACAGGTTGTTGACGAGGAACAATCGCGGAATCAATGGATGATGTGAGCGAGTGAGTGAGTGAGTTGCTTTGCATTCTGTTAATATTGATCCGTCACGAGGCATTCAGTCGAAAAAAAGATTTTTGTTTAGCTCCAAATGATAATGGAATTNGACTGACTTCGATGATAAGCACAAAATCTATTCACATGTAATGTGATAAATTTTGATGAAGAAAACATGAGAGCATCGAAACATGAGAGAATCTGAAGTGCAAGTGATTTCGGTCGATTAAGTGAATAACCACGCCCATTAAATGAAAGATATTGAAGTTGAGGAAAAGCTTTGTGTGTCGGTAATTGTTTAATGAAACATGCAGATGGAAAGTCCCGATACGATTCTATGTAAATATTAAGTTGCCACACGAATGGCCAAGGTGATGAAGAGTGTTCGAGAAGAAGTTCAATGTTAGATATGTATAGCGACAAACACTCAAGGGCAGAGGCACATTTCCGAAATTGTTCCAGAATAAAGCAACGATAATAATTCGATGTTGTAGATCGATAAAACGATAAACCAGATTTGATTGGATTTGAATCAAAATTAAGTTTGAGAGAATGTAAAAATGGAAGACATAAACGCCAAGAATTGATGTTTATATTCATTTCCTAAATAATCTATAGAAATGAAAATGTTCATAAATTAGTATTGATATTTACTTGAATATCAACAGAAAAAACAAGCGAATTCACATGTTGAAAATGAGTAAGAGTAGTATCGATAGATAAAGGATCGCGATCAACTATCCACTCAATATGATCAATACTTTTATTAATTGTTGCTTGCCGTCCAAACGTATGATTGTATACCTGTCTTTGACTGTTTAATGGATATGGAACTGTGTAAAGTATCATCATTCTATCGATAACATATTCAACAGTTTGATGACTTAAATTAAACCAATAGAGATCAGGATTTTCAAGCTTGGTTTCACCGGGTAAATAAAGGACGAAACGAAGACAATGCAGACGAATCATAAAATTTGTAAAACAGCTTTTAAATGCAACAAGTTCATTCTTATCTGAAAATAAAGAGAAACGAATGAGTGTTATTATCACCTATAGAATCTCGATCTTCTAACCTTTAACATTACAATTGATCAAAATCAATGATTTAAGTTGACACATTGATTTTACATGTTGTATCAATACAATGACATTGTTCATGGCGATTTGTCGCAATTGTAATGTGCGTAAATGAGGTAGATTGGCTTCAGTTGTGTTCAACACATCAGGACATAAAATAGGACAATATGCATTTTCATACCGACTATCTAATTGATATGAATTATATATTCCAGTTTCCATTGTAAGATGAAGATCTTCTATATGCGGTAAGNTTCTTTTTTATTTTCATAGATAATTCCTATGAAAGAGAGTAAACAGCAATATCAAGATGATATTCCTATTCCACCATCGTTATTTCATGTGACACCATGTACAATGTCACCTGATACATTTACATTACCATCAACAACAATGTCAACAACACAATTAATAAAAAATGAAACACAAAGATCAAAAATATTCTCACGAAATTCATTTTCAGCGTTCGATGTTGTCCAACAACCCGTGAAAAAAAGTATTAAGTATGTACTTGATAGATTAACTTGTTTCTGAATTATTGTTTTCAATTTATTGTCAAATAGAACGGATGCGCCATAAATAGCTGCCCCCTTAGTATTTTTGAGATTTCTCCTCTATGATCTATGCGACGAAAATACTTATTTTTAATTAAAAGACAACGCTTGGAATTCTCTACAAAATGGTGCATTTTATTTAGTGAATATACTCTTCTAAACTTTTTTGGATCGGATGTAATCGTACAGTGAAATTAAGTATGAAAAGTAAAATCTTTTCTTCTGTAACTTTTTCACAGAATGTTTTATTTCGTCTATCAGTCTCAGCCCATAGCTGCAACTAGCTCACCCAATAGGCTACAATCTTTAATGGTAATAATCGAGTGAATCTGATGAACAATGATCTCCCAAAATAATGCGGGAAAATTATCAACAGACTGTGTTTTGACCTAGAGAAAAATTAAATCTTAGAATGCAATTAAAATCTCATCTAAATCCAATAGAAATGAGTAAAATCAGGAGCCAGTAAAAGCCATTCAAATGAGAGGACTCAAGATCGAGATTTTCCAACTTGCAATGTCTCAGTTTATGCGTATTCAAACTATGCTGAAGATCCAGAACATATGATAAATTAATAGAATCAATGTTGTTGATCATTTGAATTCATAATTTAATTATTTGGAATGAGATTATTCCATTTAAATCGTGACAAAGTTTTGTAGCAACATCACCTTTTTTACATTTACATTTAACAGCCGTTTGTATACCTTTACTTTTCATCCGTTCTCAAATATATATTTAAAGTGACTTCCAAGTTCAATTAAACATACTTTTGTAGAGAATTTCGAGCACTATATTTTGATTAAAAACCTGTTTTAATCACAAGAATAATGAAGAAGAAATATTAAAAATACTAAGAGGGCAATTATTTATGGAACATCTGTTTACTTTATTACAGGGTTTTACGAAAACAGAACAAAGACAAAAAGAAAATACCTCCAACAACATGGCGTATTATTATTATTAGCATTATTGTCGCACTGATATTGAGTATAATTGCTGTTGGTATTTATCTTGCTATTCGTTTCATAAGATCAACAACAAGTACTACAATAGGTAATCTACATAATATTCTTCCTCGTTACTTCAAATGTTCTATCCGATCTTCTGCCTTTTACAAAATTTCGTATAAGATGATTTGTTTCATAGTTGCGAATCCTGTGCTGCGGTGGAATGTAACAGGCATTACTATAGCTGGCATCGGTGGTTCAGCTGGTGTGAACGCTAATCAGCTTAAATATCCGCTCGATATTGCATTGGGATCATCCAATGCAATTTATGTTGCCGATTGCTTAAATAACCGTGTTCAATATTGGAATATTGGCAATTCGAGTGGTACAACAGTCGCTGGACAGTCCAATGGAAATGCAGGCACTAATGCAACTTATTTACGCTGTCCCACTGGACTTTATGTTGACTCAAACGATAATGTTTATGTGTCTGATTCTCAGAATAATCGTATTCAACTTTGGAACCATAGTGCATCTATTGGAACAATGGTTGCTGGAACAGGTTAGTCAAATAGAAAGTATATCAAGGATTATGTAGGAGTTTGTATAAAAAATTTGATAGGACTTTTCTTAGAGATATAGACATATAAAACTGTCTGAGGATTTCTCGAAAACTGAAATCCGTGGCCAGCAGACAACGTCGTATTCCTACCGGACAGGCTTTCGAAGAACTAACTACGAAGTTTGTGGAGAGAATGTCTGGTAGAAACAGCTTTTAGTTTTTCAATTTGTGCAGGTGGGAGCTGCTTCCATCTTGACCAGAAACTCTGAGTACATCTAAGGATACGAAGAATATTTTAGCTCCATATCTCTTATAATTGTATTTAATGAATAATTTTAACAATAGGTATGAATGGATCCGCTAATAATCAACTTTTTAGTCCATGTGGTATTGTCCAAAATCCAAGTACAAAAACACTTTATATCGTAGACTATACCAATCAAAGAGTCATGAGCTATACATCGGGTGCTTCAACGGGTACTGTAGTAGCAGGAGGAAATGGATTAGGAACGAGTAATATACAATTGAATAATCCTGTTGGGATATATTTCGATTCGTTTACCAATAGTCTTCTAATAGCTAATCATGGAGCTAATAATATTGTTCGTTGGGTATTAGGTGCAAGTAGTTGGACACTTGTTGCTGGTAATATTAATGGATCATCTGGAAATTCATCAACGACACTAAATTCTCCTGCTGCTGTAATACTTGATCCAATGGGAAATGTTTATGTGGCTGATAGTCTCAATAATCGTATTCAATTATTTATGTCCAGTCAATCAGAAGGTATAACTATTCTTGGAATGATGAGCACAAATAGCAGTAATTTCACTCAGTTCGCGACTCCTTATGCAGTACGACTAGATAATCAACTCAATCTATACGTTGTCGATACGGGTAACAATCGAGTTTTAAAATTTTTACGTTATTAAATAAGGACTGAATATGAAACCTTTTGAAACTAATTTTTAAATCGAATAAAATTCGTTTGCATTCACCACAAACAAAAACTTGGTAAAAGTCTGCATTAGAATGTGTTTTCTTTTATGGGCACATGTTCTCTCTAGATTTTAAAGCAGACAGACTTATCAATTTACAGAGTTTGACTATTCACGAATGGAATTCCTATCTGTCGATCGAATCGTTTGTTAACAGATAATTCATTCAAGATAAATGGTTCATCTTTCACGGCAGCGAGGATCTTGAGGGTGATTGCACAAAGTAATTTGAAGATTTTTGAGTCTATGTAAAGAAAAGGGAAAGATCTTTATTTTCAATCATTCCTACCTTTCTTATTTTGACTTACGACGAGACTGTAATAATCCGTGTTTGAATTATTTTTTCCAATCTACAGAATTTTAGTTAAAAACTTGTCATAGAATATTTACTATAACATTTCATAAGAAATTAACCTATATCTTCTTTCCTTTCTTTCGTTCTAATCACATGTATGGTTCCACATATGTTCTCTATCTCTTTCTGACGTTATATTTTATCCCTATGTCACGTGTGCTTTCTATTCCTTCGGTCTTTTCGTAAAGCTATACCAATCTACTTCTGTATTAGTAAAATATCTATGTATAAATTTCAATACCAGTGCTCTTTCATGTCTAAGTACACTTGGATGATCAGAGAAACACTTGGCATTTATAAGATCGAAACTAATTTTATTTCAATGAGAGTTAGAACATTCGTCCCATGAGATGTCGTCGTAGATATCGAATAGTTTGACGCTCAGTAAGAATTCCTTTGACAACAATAAATCGACGAACAATACATTGGAGTTTCCCCGTTCTTCTACGCCGCCACTGTCGGCCTGGTGTGTATCTTAGTGGGATGTAGGGTCGTCGCGAATCATTGTACCAAACTGTTAACGATTGATACGTCCTGTATTCGTCAACAAAGAGATCATAAATAATTGCAAATAAAGCAAAGATACTCGTTAGTATCATGCCACCATCACGAGCAACTACCCATCCATACGAACAAGTTGACCACCAAGATGGAAAAAACTTCCACTCCTGGAACATATCACGACACAAATCTAGCGAGTCATGATTGAATAAAGACCAAAATGTATGCCAAAGGCAAACACTGAAAAATGATATATGCAAGAGCGAATAAGAAAGATTGTCATACACCTTCCAAAATACAGATACATAAGTACAAAGTAAAATGAAACATGCTAATTGATTACACCAAAACGAGAATCTAAAAATAAATCATCGTGATTGCGTTTCATTCAAAGAAATCATATTTAGATCATTTTGACGTTTACCGAACGAACATCAAATATTCGCTATTTCTTCGATCAATGCATTAGATCACTTCTGTACTTTCCTTATCAAGTGAAAACAGGTGGGGATCCAGGTGTTCGTCTGGCATGCCGTTATTACTCAGGTAGATGTATCATTCAGTTTGAGCTGATAACTCACCCTGATGCATTATTCCTCCATAACCATGTACATATGACGAGAAAACAAGCAATAGCCGTTCGTATACAGGAAGATCGATGTTCCTTGAAATTTTGTGCAGTCATTTCATTCCAAATTTCCATTTTCTAGTGATGAAGAAACGAACAAAGAACATATATATATATATCTTCATATGATGTGCATTTCTTAATCGATCTTTTTGCACGTCAAGATAATATTTTTTTTCTTTGGAATGTCAACGTACCGTCCGTCATGTCAATGAATATCGGACGAGCAATATCACCGATATGACTGAAAAAAAGAAGGAGAGAGGAAACGTCAAATTGATTAACAGTGAAAGCAATCGATTTTCTTCCTTGTGAGATTTCTTCGACGGTTTACTTCGATCAAACTTATGACGGGAAAATCCGAATGCTTTACTGTTATATATTTACTGATGATTTGAATTGTAACAATCGATAAATCAACGCATAATCAATCGCTGTTTTAAGATAGTACCAAGACAACCTTATTTACATTACTCTTTCTGCTTGCATTCTTTGTAAGTTTCAACAAAGAAAAGTAAAACCGACAAAATATACATCTTGAGGGTAAGAAAACTGCACAAAGTAATGAAATAAATAAGCTAATCAAAGTCATTCACTATGCAAATGATAAATAATCCAGAAAAGAAGGTTTTCCTTGACCAGCAAAAATAACTAGAACAAACAAAACTTATTCGATTAAAGATGAGTTGTTTTTCCGTTAGATAAGAAACCTGTAATAAACATTGACATGGATGATGCAAAAAACAATATTCCCATTGATCTTTGACATCAATCAATCAATGAGAAGTAAAATTCTTACAATCACATAGAAAACCAGGGCAACTATTTCAAATGATTGACTTGTTCGAACAAAATCGGGTGAACTCATAAATGCTGTATTTGTTGCATTACTTGAATAAGCACGAGCACTCCAATCGGCGGGTGAGGGTGAGGGTGTGAGGAAGTATGCGATGAACGAAGATTTATCCACACATCCGCCCACAGATATTAAGGATCTGTCGTGTTTTATTAACATCAAAGTCACTTTCAAATGTAACGAAAAGGGTGGGTGAGGGTGTATTTCACCCAGACCACTCATCTGCCAGTCATAGTTCTCTATTAGATATCACCATTAAAGTTTGCGTGGCGAATCTAGAATTAATGAGTAGTGGAAATGCATGTAGATAATGAGAATGAATGTGAGCTGATGGACTTGGGTGAAATCCGCGCAAATCATGTTTAAACGTGTTGACGTTAATAAAGCCGTTCTAGATATGCTGGATGATGTAAAGCGTAGAAATCCGCTCAAAAATACGATTTCTCCAAAAAAAATATGCGGTTCAGTTGAAGAGAGTCAAAGTGTCAACAATATGCTACTAAGAACAAATTTCAACCCCCTTGAGGGTTATAGTATACTACGAAAGTGAATGTATTACTACATAGGTCAATCGCTAAGCTTTAGCAGTGGTCCCTTAAAATAGTATCCTACGTAGTTATATCGTGCGCGTTGCCTTATTCTAGTGGTAACATATGTTGTAGATGGAAATACTAGCACGCTGTTTCAAAAGGCTCCGATAAAGATAATCTTTAATGAATTTCTGAACACCTCTATTTTCGCATGAATAAACTAGACCTAAGTGGCATTTAAGAAAACTCATTTGATATTATATCTAACTGCGATGGAAATTCATGAGGAATTAGTCACTGCCCATGGACAAGGCGCTACGTCATATAGCACAGTAACTATAGGATTCGTCGATTTTCAAATGGAGGAGAGTCTTGGAAAGATGATCGTCGAATTCATGATTCAATAACCGATGTCGCTCAACAAAAATATTGACTATGCTAATGAGCTGAAAATAGATAGTCCGCGTTTCCGTAGTGCTACACTGACACTATCTCATACTTCTTGCATAATATGATTATCACGGCAAACGTTCAAAGTGGTTAGTTAATAATATACATAAGAGAATATGATGATTGAAAAATAAGTGCGCCGTCAAAATACATATAAGTGTATGCATGACAATATATTTAGTCCTAAGTATCCTTACAGGAAAAGTTCAAACTTATGATTTATTCATTTTAAAGGCTGTTAGGAGGGGAAAAGAAAGATCGATATGGTGTGAGGTCGTCGACCATCGGATGTTTTTCTAGCACGACGAGAACGTGAACGTCCACAGAAAACGAGAGATGAGAAGATCAGATGACCAGACCAGACCAGACTAGACAACACACTGAAGGAAAGGATAGACAGATTTATGAGAGGTAGACAGAATGATGCCATGTGATATCATAACACATAGAAAGAGTGACCACAATTGTAGAGAAAAGCTCAGATAGAAAAGAGATCTGGATTGACTGTATGAGGATTTACCCCGTAGCAGAGATCTTATTTTGCTCCTTCGATATCGAGTTTATTCAGCAATCCAAACTGTACTTGTAGTAAAACTTCAGATGCTACAAATTTAGCTAAGCTAATGACCACCAAATTGAAATCGATCTATACTGCAGAATCTACAGTACAAATTACCAAAGGGTATCCCAAAAATGAATTAAATGAAAAAAAGCTTTCTATAAAGCATTGTCGAGACTAACTCAGATATTCAGTATAAAAAGATTGGCAAAATGCTTTTTTTCTAAGAATACACATTTGAAAGTGCAAGAATTTATTGGCCAACCTATGTAGAACCAATCAATGTATCACTACCGTTGGTCTACAGTATAACTCCTGATAGGGCAATTTGATTGTGTGATGAACTTTTCCACAGCATATTTTCATGCCAGAATCTCGCTAAAATTAGAAGATTAGACTGTTTGGACGAGTGATTTCTGAGTTACTGAAAAACTATAGCTATTTCCGTATGACTTCTTATGTGCTCCATCTGGTACACTTTTTGCAGTACACATAGCTTTCGGATAAATCCGAAGCTTCCGCATTTATTTATTCAAAGGACTGAAAGATGTCCTGTCAAGTATATTCGACGGTGCCAATTCGGGGTCTTGAAAAATATTTCTGAGCAGATAGTAGTTGGACACTAATAGCACATGCGGTTCATTTGACTGGCAAATATTCACTACTTACGACGAAAGCCTCAAATGCAATTCAATATATTTTAAAATGCTATTCTCCTATGCGTACACGACTTCGTGTGGATAACAACCAATATCTACTAGATGTTCTCGAATGATTTATTTCTTTCAACTGTCGATGTGAAGAATAATCCATGGAAAAATCTCATCGAGACGCGTTGTAATCAAAATTCTTATTCTAAGAATGGCACTGAAATCTTTCCACTGTTTCATTTTATGCTTTGTTTACGATGATAAACAATCCACTGAACAATTATTTATTGGTAAAAGAATTGCTAAACTCGTATTCCATTTAAATCAACTCCTTTGGTTGATTGTCAACTCATATCATGTCAAATGTAACAATATAAAAACAACAAAATTTTATTCGCATCAACTTCAACTGATATCTTTGAGAAATTACATCAACAATGTCGTTTGCATGAATTAACTATCAACAGTCCGCTAATTGCTTGTATTCTCTTAACAGTTCATCATTGTTTTCCACTGGGTAAAAACATGAAATTAAAACCATTTGAAATTAGTAGCGCATTTGATATGCGTATGGGTCTACCTGAAACCCCACTAATCAGTTCATCAGTTGGAGTTTTTGTTGATCTGCACGAATTAAAACTGAAAAAACCTTATTGAATTCATTCAACCTGATTTTGGTCATTGGCACTCGAATTAATGTCTGTAACTCGAAATGCGTTGAAAAAAGAAGGAATTCCATTGACAATGTGCGTGTTTGCTGATCTCCTCAAAGATGATCGTAACCTCCATGAATTAGATCAACTAGAATCAGAACTTGGTTATTCTAATCTTGGTAAATATCCATTTTCATGTGATTATTCACAAGGAAATCTCAAAATACGAGGTTTACATCTGAGCAATAATTGCAGTGATTCTCGTCCTGGAGTAAATGTGTTTGTTGCTGGTGCGGATGATGGTCAACTGGATTTTTCAATGGTTCATGAAATAGCCACTGGTGAGAAAGTGAAAGAGTTTTTCGATTACTATATTCGTCTTGTGGAAACATGAGCTGATCAAAGTTGTTGTACGAATGGAATAACTCATGACAAGAGCATATTGTTGATTATGTCGAAAACGTTTATATGGTGAAATGTCCTCTATCAGAGAATTTGATAATCTGCCATTTCTCCGTTGGATATGATATTGTCAATTTCTTCTCTTCGTCTATATAATTATCATTGAAAAAGGACATTTTACTATGCACTACAAGGAAAACAAGTTCAACCGCTATATCATTATCAAATCAATAGTGTTGATAGTAAAGGACATAGTAGCAGATTTTTGGAATGTCTGAAAGCGTGAATTCAATCTGAGAAATATCATTGAAATCTAAATTTAGCTGATATTAAGATTTGTATTCATGTGAAACAAGTTCATTAATCTCGAAAAGCGAAAAAGCAACATGCTGACATGATCATTTCTGCATCTTTTCAAAAACAGATTCCGAGAAGGCAAACCTTTTTCTGTTTAACCTTAATTCAAAGTTCATCGATTTTCTTTCTTTTGATATAAAAGTACATGAGATGAGATAAACAACTCTTAATGAATTTCATTTGAAAACGAAATCTTTCGTCATTAGAGAATCTTTTATTCGTTAGTAAACTCCCGACTTAAATGTCATCATCAAATTCAATTGTCTTCTTACAATCATTGCAAACGTATGTGTCGAATTGTTGGCCCAATTGGGTGTCTCTTAAATCTCATCATATTTTCCAGGAAAGCTTTACAAAAAAGTCCTTGTTCAATCTATTTCCTCACATAGAATCTCATCAATTTTTCTTTATCTGATCATAAGTGTAGGATATAATCTCAATCCTGAACTATCGAATGTAATCATTTGTCGTCTTTATCTTTATTTGACTGTGCTATTTACATTGTTTAAATCAGTATTATTCAGTTTTGGCTTTCATTGATCGAATGTTGATCACGTCACGGAATGCGAATATTCGTCGTCGAAGTTCTCACCGTCTGGCATATCTTTCAATATTGTTCGGTACAATGTTTTGGATTTTATTCCACGCAGTCATTTCGTTTGTGATTTTGCTCCGGGAATTGAAATAATTTTTATCAATTATTATACGATTATTGACGAAAGTTTAGTTTATTGTTTTGTTGTTTACACGTGGATTGTGTTCATTGAATAATATTCGAAAGATCGACAGTTTGTTTTTATTTTAGTTTGGGATATTCTCATTTATATATTATTTACTTACGTTCTTTCGATTTTTTTTTCTTTATCAAGAAATTCAATTCGAAAATCTCATTCCCAATTTGTGTCTTTTTAGTATAAATATTCCAGCTTGTCTTAATTTTTATGCGAATGTCGTCGCATCGAAAAGATTCTGACTTTTTCAAAAATGTGAACTTTTTTTTATATCGAATTATTCTTTTTCTTCTTCATTAAATGTCAAAAAAGCCTTTTATCATCACGATAGAATATGGTTCTGTGAGTATTATGATTCAATCTCCGGCCTCGAATAAAGACTCTCTTCTGATGAATAAGGTAATGATCATTCAAATATTATGAGTGAGTGTCAAGTTGTGATAATGATCACATATACGATAAAAGGAGTGTATGGGAAATGTGCGACATCTTTCGTTCATTCATTTCTTTTCTCATGAGTCATTTCATCAAATATTCAAAACAATCTCATTACAAATGGATAACAAAAAGAAGAAACATCTGAACGCAGTTTTTGTTGGCCTAAACAATTCTGGTAGATCCACTTTCCTCACTCAATTACTATGTAGATGTGGTGGAATTGATAAACGAACGATGATGAAATTGGAACGAGATGCATTACAAGTTAGAGAAACTGATTCTTTTCATCGAAATATTTCTTTTGTGTAGCTCGGAATGACTTCATTGAAATATTCTTGGATTCTCGAACAATTAAATCGAATGCGGGAACGAAGTATCAACATTCAAATTGAATTGAATCGATTTGCAACAAAGAACTATTTTGTTTCGATCAATGAAGAGCGTTCTACTGAAAGTTTCCTTCGACGAATAATTCTTTCTCAAGTTGATTTTTTCTCTTCATTTCAAATTGATTTCCATAGTGAATTTTCTTAGACCGATTGCGTTGTTCTCATAATTTCCGCTCTGGAAAACAAAAATCAAATTCATGAATATGTTCAGATCTGTTCTGCATTTGGTATCGAACAATTGGTCATCTTAGTTAACAAAATGGACCAAACTGAACCTTCTTTCTCTCAAATTCGTTTTGATGAGCTGAAGGCATTGTCTAATCAAATACCAATTATTCCGATTTCATCACGATTCGGTGATAATATTGTGGAAGAATCAACAAATATGCCGTGGTTTCAAGGCTGGTCGATGAACGATCAACAAGGGAAAACATTTCTTGAAATTCTTGATGCGATGACATGTTTGGAAGATTTGTCAAATGAGGCATTTCGAATGCTGATTGAAAATGTTTATAAAATCAGTGGAATTGGAACGGTTCTTCTGGGAAAAATTCAAAGTGGAATGATTCGAACAAATATGAAAATCCAAATAAATCCATTGAATTTAATTGAAGAAATCAAATTGATTGAAGTCAATGATGAAACTATTCAAGGTTATTCACCATCTCTTTTTTTTAAATATTTATGCTCTTGTCTTATAGAAGCTTATGCTGGTTCGTATGTTTCTTTTAGCGTTCGATCGATGGACAAGAAACGTATTCGACGAGGTATGATTTGTTCGAATGTAACAAATGATTTATCTGGGCAAATTTCAAGTTTTACAGCGAAAGTTAGTTCTTTGATTTCTAATTGGCCGAATTTTTTTCTTTAGATTTTTTTCTTGAAGGATTCTTCTTGTATTAGTGAAGGAAGTCAGCTGATAGTTTATTGTCATACATCTCGTATTTCATGTCAAATTATTGAAATCAAATCAAATGAATGTACTTTGGTTAAATTAGTACCGTTAGAAGTAACTCATGTGGAGAAATTCACTGATTTTCCATCATTAAGTCGAATCTGGATTGGTACTTTAAGTAAAATAATCGCTGTTGGGACTATAATTGATATTGAAAAGAAAATCTAATTTGATTTTATAAATATGTGTGTCATTTCATATGAATATGCGGAATATTTTTTTACTTCATTTATTCATCTCTCTGCTAAATAACCATCTCGATACGAAGTTTCCATCCGTTTATCTGCATAGGATAAAACTGTTCTATTTTCTTTGCTGAAACACAAATCATGTGTTTCTTGTCTTTTGAATATCGTCATTTATTACATTTGCTTTATTTATTTTTAGATAAATTCGTTTACATAATGAAATAAAATAACAATATCATTGTTCGATTAGCTTTAAGCAGCGCTTGCCTTAAATCTGTGCGTGTACTGGATCTTTTAGTGTACATATCTGGCAAAATTCATTTACTCGGCTTCGTGGATGTTTTCAGTAAAGATTTTCGCACATTTTTCAGATAATTCAGGTATACTGCTCGCGTCGCTGTTGTTTTATTCAAACCATCGGTTACCGGCGGTAAAAGTCGGCTTTTCGTTTTACACTTTTATTATTATTGATTCATATAAAATTTTGTTAGAAAAACTCATGAAGATACGAATTTTCATTGGAAAAATGCTTTATGATAAGTTAAAACACTTTTATGATAATCTTTTAGTTCATCAACATAGGTGCGAATTTAACTAATGACGGTTTTTCATGGTGCCATCTTTCATTAAATTCAAACTCGAAAGTCACGGAAAATTAGACGATGTGGCTAACACCAGTGGCTTTAGCGCGCTTACAAATGTGAGGAGGCGTGATTTCAACTAAAATCGGACAAATTTTTAAGGCTTAAAAAATATTTGTTCAATTAGAAAAGAAAAAGAACTGCGGTAGCCGGGACGGTTAACTGACGGTTCTGGAGCGGTTTGAGTGACATGGGTGGTATCTGATTACATATGCGCTAATCCTTTATAACTCTAGAAGACTCATGATGATGAATTTCTGTCGTATTGTGCTCCTATGGAATACGTCAGATAATTTCAACTGTTTCACATCTAATTTACGAGTCAATTGTGTTTGTTTGAAAAAGAGACGAGCGCAACCATTTTTCTGTAGTTTACGAGCAGAGATATGAGAACCAACTTTACTTTTACTTTTGTAAAATACATTTGATCTACTCTGAAATGGTAGCTATGGATACTTTGGTTTAATACACATATTTCGAAGTTGTATACATTACTTTTGGTTTACGGTTTTGTCTCGTTCTTTTCTGTGTTTCTTACCTTCGACGCATTTACATATTTGTGTGGAAAAAAATTTATAATAGTGACAGTTATTCCATCAGAATAAAAGCATGTGCTTTTACAACTGTCTAGTGTTTTTTTCCTCTGCTCGTATAGTCGAGAAGAGATGAAAACGACATTTTTTGCATGAAGCAAAATATACGTTTTCACTAAACATTCTGTGTGGATCAAATGTATGAGATAAGTTCGACGCACGGTTTGCTCTTAGAAATTATAGAAAACAAGGTAAAGACGTTGAACCTAAGACGAGGATAGATGTAAGGTAATCACACCCTCACAATATGTTGAAACTTAGGAAGAAAGTAAGATTACAATCTGAATTGTAGATATACTCAGATTGATCAACTGTATATGAATACAAAATGACCACGACGCAACAGACAGAACCGCCGAAGCTAATACTTGATGGGATTGGAGTTGACTCTGATCCATATTTTGTATTATGGTTTGATACTAATACAGAAAAATTTAAACAAGAAACACTTGATAAAACGAAAATGTGTCGAATTTATGATTATCTACACATTTTCAGTCAATCGGAAGCTCTTGAACAATTTATTAACAAAGCACATGAGAAAAAGTTATTTCTGATGACAAGTGTCGACATTGGCAGATTATTATTGCCAAATTTACACTTTTATCATCAATTGTACGCTGTGTACTTATATGATCAAACAACATTATCAACAAATCAAGAATGGATGCAAACATATTACAAGGTATAGTTTTACAGTCGAAATGGATCTTCCGAGTTCTTTTGAATTCGAGATTTAATGTTGTATTTTGTTGTTAATGAATATATCTTCGATACTACTCGAGAAGCGCAATCTGAAAAGCAAATTCCACTAATCTAATCACTCTAGAATCAAGAGGAAAAACTAAGTTCTTTCGAATTTTTTGACAAAAAACTATGCAAAATAAGTATCGATTCAGACGACGCGTTTGCTTTCTCATTCATCTATATCTTTGATTGTTTTACTTCATTCACTGCGATAATTACCATCCAGAGAATACATCCTATTTCCTAATGCTGTACATTATGGAATCAATTCCTTTGATTCCGGTATCATCTCTGATCAAGATGTCATGTACACTGAAATTGAATTTCGGAATTGTTAGAAGTGATTCCGCGTGCAGAACTGGTTCCCAAATGTTCAGCATTGATGAATAAGATGGATAAGTCACAATCCATTGTTTTTTATTTTAGGTAAGAGGAATTTACAACGATGAAAATGAATTGTTGATAATATTATCTAAACATTTACGAGTGTACATTCAGTTGAGTCATTCAGAATTATTAACGCCAATATTTTCACATTTATCCTCCGAAAAGTCCACACATTCTATTACAATGTCTGGAGCTATGTGGAAATCTTCCATAAATTTCCCGTTGTTTCTTGATTCCATGTTGACAATACCTCGCAATGATGGGGATAAAAAACGATTCGTAGATGAATGCAAATTTTACTATAGAAATGATAAAACAATACTAAATGCCGTCAATGAATTTGATCGTAATTATGTCGCTGAACACGCCATATGGTGGTATACAAGAGATAGTTTCCTCTATCGAATTCTTAATAAAGCGTTTCGACAACAGATCGAAGATATTATTTGTCTAATGCATTTTTTCATTGTCGATTTATGTAAACAGTTGAAACATGAATTTGCAATTCAATCGCGAGAAAACTTCTCGGTCTTATATCGTGGACAATTAATATTGAAAGATGAAATTGAAAAACTATATCGTGAAAGACACTCGATTGATATCATTATTATTAATTCATTTTGTTCTGCAACTGATGATCGTGATATGGCATTGATATTTTCGGGAGCTGGATGTTATTCTTCAACGAATGATATTCAATCAGTACTTTTGGAAATTACTGTTGATCAAATGGAATCGGAAAAGCCATTTGCCAAAATTCGACATTTGAGTTCAAATTCAGATGAAGATGAAACATTATTTACTGCAGGTTCCAGATTTCAAGTTAGTGATATCACATATAGTATTGAAGAACAAGTTTGGATTGTAAAACTTCGACATGAACATATTTTCGATATAGTTTCTACTCATTATCATCATTACAATTTATTGAAAGCTCGATCTATTGATGTCTCACTGATTAAACTCAATTTTTTCTTACAGAAAATGGCCATTACTAACAATTGTAACTCGCCACTTTCGAATCTTCGAAATGTGAACCAAGTAATCGACAATACTTTCAATCGATTATTAGATATTTTAAACTGTCTTCCTCCCGAAAGTTACTTCAAATCTGACTATGACTCTTTATATCCGACAGATTTTCAATTGAAAATTATATTGAAAAAATTAACATGTAATTATCAATCATCACCATATGCGTTTGAAAATTCCTTTGGCCGTTTATTATTGTATGATGCTCTTGGAATATCACTGATACTTATTGGTGAAACAGCTGAAGCCTTGCACTGGCTCAATGAAGCAGCAGAATTACAGTTAAACATGAACTTCATCGACGATGAAGCTTCGTTTATACGTTCTTTTAATACAGCTTGTATTCACAGAAAAATGGGGAACTATGTAGCAGCGTGGAATTTATGTAAAAACATGTTAAAGCGTGATCCTCAACCTTTTGACATATATGCTCAAATTGCTCAAGATGATGTACGGTTTATTGATCAAAGTGCACAGGATTTACCGGAATATATCGATGAAATCATAGAAGGTTACAGAAGAATCAGCTGGGACGATGAAAATGCAGTCAACTATCTTGAAAAGATAGTTTCTATTTTAATGACATATCGACCTAATAATAAATATGGCATTCGTGTAACCTACGAAGCTATTGTAAAAGAATATGAAAAACAAATGAATTACTGCTCAGCAATCGAATGGTCGAAGAAACTTGTACAAATCAATAAAGAGAATGAAGCGATTCACACATATTTAGAAATTGGAAGATTCTATGGAGAACTCAACGAATTCCAAACAGCATTCGAATACCTGGAAAAATCGTTAGATTTATGTGTCAAAATAGATAATGAAGGTACTTCGAATAAAAATCGGATTATCTGTAATCAATATTTCGCAGATATGTATTTGAAAAAAGGAAATTTTGATGAATCTATTGAATGGATTGAGAAGGCATTGATACAATTGATTAAAACAAGGAAAAATACCATCATGCCATGGCATCTTTCGACGATAGATCGTCAAATTGATAAACTACGAGAAAAGATTCTACAAATTTCCTGTCAACAAGGTAAAGTCATATCACTGTTCAATATATTTCTGTAAGGTTTCAGTCGAGATTTTTTACTGATCTTACATTTGTTTTAGTAACACCGAAAACAATGGAAAAAGTCAACGATTTACTATCATTAATAACGTCAGTGTGCGATACAATATAAGACGAAATTCTTCGCTCAATCTATGCATTAGAACTTCATGTAAAAACCAGAAAAAAGCTTATGACCACTGTTCTGTATAGATATTTTCAGATATGAAACACTCAGTCACTTGAAATGTATCTTGAGGACGTGAATGTTGGTTAGAATGAACTACTTATATCTTCAACTTCTCAGATTTCTATAAGGAACAATTATGAGAGTGAACGTCTTTTTTTCACTGATGTTTATTACCACCCTCACCCTCAAACATGAATACAGATGAAGAAAGAAGTCAGTAGTGTTTATTTAGTAGAAAGAAACCAGTTAAAAGCGTCATGATACGAAGTGTATGAACAGACAAAAAGAAGAAATCAGCAGTTTACAAAATATTGGTGAAAGTGTTCACTTTGATAAAGATCGGACTGAATACAACAACTGTTAATGTGAGAATGAAATTGACTGATTTCATTTCGGAACCATTGCACAGATCTGTATTACAACAGAAATTAGTCGATCCATCTGTAGTTCCCGACGGAACATGGGTGTACGATTCTGTGCAACTAGTTGTGTCTGCCCATCGATCTACGAATAAAGAGTTGCTCAAATGTGTGGTTTTCTAAAAGAGAAAAAGGATAGTCATCCCTTCAATCGTATCCGCTACCTACCATGCACACAACATTCGAACTGTCTATGAAACTACAATCACTCCTTCCCCGTTAGCGTCAAAGTTCGGACCACAACCACCGGTACCTCCATAACAAATATAACACTTAAGAGTAGACACAGTTTGTTGAACGGCTAAACATTCCACAAAACAAATGAATAAATAAATATCATCTTATTCACTATACTTACATAATACAATGGCGAAAATAAACAGGGTTTTGCTTATCATGGTTTCAAGCGAATATAAATGACACTGTTACTCTCTGGTAGAGAATGTGATGGTGTCCACACTATTTTCATCCATTAACATGAGTTTGATGCTCGTTCTTGTAGTCGGCGAAAGCAGGATCGTTGACGACGAACAATCACGGAATCAATGGATGATGTGAGCGAATGAGTGAGCTGCTTTGCATTCTATTAATGTTGATCTGCCACGAGGCATTCAGTCGAAAAAAATATTTTTGTTTAGCTCCAAATAATAATGGAATTCGTTGAGAGTACTAACTGCAATACAGTGACATAAATGAATTACACAAAAGAGGCAAGCAAAGGTATGTTATCCGTTTTGTCGAAATCCAGAATTGTGTCATCGAATTTGAGAGAAAACATTTCAATGAAATATTGAGTTTTTGAGTGGATTAAGATAGAGATTTGGTTCCAACAAAATGCTGCTTGGATTGCTTTGGTGAAATGCCCGTTCGAAGGGATAGATCTGACAACTCAACGCTAAAATTTAATTGAACTTATGGAGGGACTGCTCTGTTAAAACAGGAGACTTTTTCATTAATTAAACTGAGGAGAAACATCTGATTCCGAGATTTCAACAGATTTTATTCTTCATAATCGACTATTCTCCTTTGAAAATTAGCCTCCTCCAAGTTATACCATAGATCTAAAGTTATTACGAATGAATGATAGTTCTTACAAACATGTCAATCCGCTTTGATAAAAATTTGTAAAGTTCAACATAATAACGTCTTAGTAACTCGACGTACGTTTATCTTGATCAAATAACATATGCCATTGCATATTTAAATGTCAACCTCATCAAACTATTGCTCTTATTAGATAAAATATTTTTTTTAATATAATACTATCATTGAAAAGATAACAGAAGACATTCTATCGAGAGAAGGAAAACAGAACATAGAAGCGGAGTATCATTACTCTCATTGATTCTTCGAGGATTCTTAAAATGACGTTGAGTTTTAGACGAGATGTTCTTTTCTTATCCATGATTGTGATGTGTGAAACTATTCAACTGAATCTTTATGATACAGAATTAGTTAATAATACAAGTGTTGATCATGATTGTATTTATTATTACGCACGAAATCATGTCGAGACAATAAAAAATTGGAAACAAGCACCAATATTTCTTGTTCATCAACTTATTCCATATTGTGTTCGATTAAATGAAACAAATCAATTCGAACTGAATCCCTTTTCATCAAGCTTTGCATTCGAAGAATTACGATCGAAATCAATTACCAGTGATCAATTGTATAAATGGTCAGCAGTAATTGATATTGCAGAAGAATATGAATATTATTTGAACAATCCAAGTAGTGAGACTGATTTCTTCCCATTTCATAATTGTACATTCCCATGGTTTGGTGTATTTTGTCAATATACATTCGATTTTGATACAAATTCTTCAATTGCTGATATTGTTGAAGCGATATTTCAAGCGAGAGAAGGACTAGAGTACCAAATTCATAATTTATCATGTTATACACATTTAGAATGTATTCGTGGTCCATATCCAATGTGTCTCGATTGGAGAGAAATTTGTGATGGATCTCAGGATTGTTTAAATGGAATGGATGAAGTCGATTGTTGGAAAATGGAAATGAATATTTGTGGAAAACATGAATATCAATGTCGGAATGGACAATGTATACCAGAAGAATATTTATTAGATGATTTGTGGAATTCCGAATGCCTTGATAATACTGATGAACTTGTAATGCATCTTCCGATGCTTAAATGTATTACTGATCCTGCGATGCGATGTGAAGATCGCATGTGTCCGTCATTACGACATTCCACATCATTTGCCTGTGGTGATGGACAATGTGTTCAAGCAAATCAAGTTGCGAACCATCAATGTCAAAATGGACGAGATCTTCTGTGGGCAAAATCGCTCATTGATCATACAATGAAGTCTTTAGACGAACCATGTGTTATGGCCATGATTTGTATTAGTAATATTGTACCTTCTAAGATGTATAAGATCGATTGTGATCACTTGTGTCGGCCTGACGGATGTCGTGGTATTGTCAAAGCATTCTGTCCTGCATTATTCGAGTTTCCGATGTTTCCCGTTGCTTTTGGTCATATTTATTTTGTTTATACTAATGACAAATTAGAATATCATTTGCATGGTAAAAATTCTCCCAATTATATCTGTTATGATGAACAATTGTGCATGGAATATTTACCACAAACAAGTCGTATCAATGGTCGCACGTGTCGACGTTATAATGAAACTGTCTTAAGTAGTTACAGTCATTTATTAAGCTTTCATTTCCAAGCTATTCTTCTCGAAGTTCAATATACATTTGAAGCTTGTTTATCCGCTCATAAATTATCTTACGAACAGATTGACAATCGTTCGGGCGTATATCATTGTATTAATTCATCAAAAATTATATCAAAACGTCATCTCGTTGATGGACGTCGTGATTGTCATGCAAATGATGATGAAATTGCCGATGCATGCACAGTCAAAAATGAATATCGATTTAAATGCTATACGAACAGTCTCAACACAACTATCACGCTTTGTATACCACCATTTCGGATGACAGATGGATCTCAAACTTGTCCAAATGGGGAAGACAATGAAATGAATCAATTAACATATGATTTTATTCGACCTCATCTATCCTTGATTGATTTTAACAATTTTTGGTCACATGTTACACTTGAACGACACAAATTCTTTCCAACAATATGTAATGGAGCTAATCAAATGATTACACCTATACTGATTAATAAAAAGCGTTATACGGATGAAACTGAATGTGACAATTGGCCTTGTAATCATATCTATAGTGAATGTGATGGATTTTGGAGTTGTGCAAATGGTTTAGATGAATTGAATTGTCGACCATCGAAATGTCCATATTTGCATCATCCATGTGTATCACCAAAAACACTGAAACTTGGTTGTTTAAATATAAGTAAAGCAGGCAACGGTATTGTTGATTGCTTAGGAGGAACTGATGAATTAAAATCATGTCAACGTGGAGTCTCAGGTTCAAAATATTTTCGCTGCAGTAATATTCTTTCGTTTACATGTTTAATAGAAACATCGTTATGTGATAAAAAGAGAGATTGTTTGTTTGGTGATGATGAAAAATTTTGTCAACATTTCTTAACAGGATCCAGACGCCTATGTGGAAATATTCATAATTTTACTCTATCAGACGAAGAAGAATTCTTGTGCAGTTTACACAATGTATCATTACGAAGAAAAGACTACTTTACAGTTAGCAATTTCATCGATCATTCGATCTTGAAATCAAATAAATTAATTGTAATTGAAAATATTCCTAGTCTGAAAGTTAATTCTGATTGGATCAAACGATGTAAACGTGGATTACCTCTGCGTATATTCAATCAGAATGAAATCCGATGTCTTTGTCCTCCTGCTTATTATGGAGCAAGTTGTGAATATCAAAATCAGCGTGTATCTATCACAGTTCAAATTCGTACAATCAGTTTCTGGAAAACAATGTTTACTATTGTATTTTTATTAATAAATAATCAAGATGGAACAATTGAATCATTTCATCAAGTGGAATTCATCTCAATAAAAGATTGTGGAATAAAATATCATGTCAATCTTTTATATTTAACTCGACCTAAAGATTTCTTCGGGAATCATTCAGTTCGTATCGATGTCTTTGATCGAAATTCCATGATCTATCGAGGAAGTTGGATTTATCCTTTACCTTTTTCCTTTCTGCCTGTATATCCTTTGGCGATCATCTTAGTTATTCCAGGACATCAAATCATAACCACATGTGACGATTTGAATTGTGCTCCTCATGGTCAATGTTTGAGATATATCAATTTGGATGAATACTTCTGCAGATGTAATGAAGGATGGTCGGGAAAAGACTGTATGACGAAGAGTTCGACCAAATTAACTTGCGCCTCCAGATCATTAAACATAGGAATGATTCACAATCGATCGATTTGTGTTTGCCCATTAGGTAAATTTGGATCTCGGTGTTACTTAACTTCTCCTTCATGTCCTGAGAATGTATGTCAACATGGTAGTGCATGTTTAGTAACAGATGAACGAATAATGAATCGAAAATATATTTGTATTTGTAAAAATGGTTATTCGGGTCAAAGTTGTGAAAAAGAAGATGCGAAAATTGAAATATCACTTGAACAATTGCCGATTCCTTTGAATATTTTGGTTCATTTTATAACTGCCCATGGCGATAAGCCTGAAAGCCGTGTAACAACATTCGCAAAAATTCCTGTCGATCAAACTTCAACAACTGTTTCCGTGTCATCTGCATTTCATTTGGTATTTGTTGAATTTTCTCATAATCTTTATTTTGCTCATTTACAATTTCTTCAAAATTCCGGTTCCATGCTTAAAAAACTGATCAAACCATCTCATCGATGTTCATCGATCGATGAATTCTTTCCTATCAGTATAACTCAACTTCATCAAGTCCGTCGTGTTAAACATTATCCAATCATTTGTCAAAATCATTCAAATGACTTTTGTTTTTACGATGACACTTATCTATGTTATTGTTATAATGGAAATACGCCAAACTGTTTCATTTTTCAACGTAATATGACCTATGATTGTCAAGGTTTTAATTATTGTGAAAATTTCGGTAAATGTTATCAGAATGATCTTGTTTGTCCAACATCATCGATGTGCGAATGTCAAGAATGTTTTTATGGAAGTCGATGTCAATTTTCGTCAAAAGGTTTTGGTTTTTCATTAGATTTTATTCTCGGTCCACATATTCGACCTAATAGTTCTTCATTTTTTCTTCGAATAAGCATTACAATTGTGTCTTTATTAACTATTCTTGGTTTTGTCAATGGTTTTCTTTGTATTCTGACATTTCATAGCGAAAAATCTCGTCAAACAGCTTCCGGATTTTATTTATTCAATTCTTCAATCGTATCGATGTTCGTCACAATTCTATTCCTACTCAAATTTTGCTTCTTAGTCGTCTCTCAAAAGATGATTTTGACCAATCGATCTGTTCTTTTCTTACAATGTTTATTAATTGATTTTCTTTTACGAATTTCCGTAAATCTAGAACTTTGGTTAAATGCTTGTGTTTCTTTTGAACGAGTGTTTATCATGATCAAAAGTACTCAATTTGACAATAAAAAGAGTAAGTCGATAGCAAAGATAATAGTTCAAATTCTTCTTTTATTCAATATTGGAACAACGATTCATGATCCAATTTCTCGACGTCTTGTTGATGATGACGACGGAAGAGATCAACGGATTTGGTGTATAGTGGAATATTCTTCGTTGTTACAAATATTTAATTCATTTTTCTATTTATTTCATTTTCTAATGCCATTTATGATCAATGTTATCTCAGCGTTAATCCTTATCATCAAACTATCCCAACGAGCAACCTTTTCTCGTTCTCATGAAAATAATTTTCGAAAACAACTCAATGAGCATAAACATTTACTAATTAGTCCAATAGTTCTTATTATTTTATCACTACCTCAACTGATTATTTCATTAATTCCTGGCTGTATGAAATCCTTTCGAGAACCATGGCTCTTCTTAATGGGTTATTTCATCTCGTTTATTCATGCTCTGGTTTCATCCATTACATTCGTTCTACCTTCAAAAACATACAAAAAACAACTTTTATGTGCATGTCGACAGTGGAAACGATTGCTTTGTAGATAGGGTCCGGCGGGGCGAAGCTTTTTCCCAATCTCTAAAATGTGACGTTCATATATACATTCTGATACTTTTGTTAATTCTGTAATATATCGAGCTACTTTGCGACTGCTAGGATAGAAATATTTTGTTCAAGACGAATAGAACATATAAAACGAGAGGAATCATCGAAGGCAAGGTCAACAAGAACGAATTATTATGATGAATGAAGGAAAGAGATAAAATCAATGAGAAAAGCATACCTAACGCTCAATTCGATTCATATCACTATATACGTCAGATTTACTAGGTCTCGAAAACGTTCGGGAACCCAATCCCGGTGCCGGACTCTATCGGATAGCAAAGTTAAACTCCTGAACCCGTCAGATATAGTTTTGCCAGAGAAATCAGCTTCCAGACAACATTCGCGAGGATATTGAGGGTGTGCTCATGAATAGAGGATTCGATAAAGTCTTGATCTTGACGATGAGGACGGGATGAAAGCTCGAATGCCAATCTCATCGACGATATCTACACTTTCAAAGATGAAAAGGGAAATAATCGAATTTTATTGAGAAATAAACGAACGAATGGAAATCACAACAACACAAAATGCATAAATGAACGAAACAAATCAAAAGTTCACTTTGACATTAAACAAGCAAATTACAGCTATACTATTAATGCCACCATTAGACTGGATGATTTCATTGAGGAACTGTTGTACAGATTTGTATTACAACAGTACACAGTGACCTCATCGACAGACGGTGCCGCGGGTGTTGAAAGAGAAAGACTTGATTTCGTTGTAGATCATGGCATCTCATAAAGAAAGTTAGAACTGCTAGCTACGGTGTAGAGATGAAATTGTTTTCTCTGTCATACTTGCTACTTACCATACAAACAAGATTCGAACTGTCAGAAATAAGGAGCACTCCACTGCCTTTCGGATCAAACACTGGACCACAATCATTAACACCTCCGTTGCAGACGTAACATTTGAGAGTAGATACAGATTGGTGAAGAATTAAACGTTCCACAAAATATTTTATTGAACGTCATCTTATTCACCATACTTACAAAATAAGATGGTGAAAATCAACAAGATCTTGCTCGGCATGCTTTCAAATATGTTGTTCCTTTATGTTAAAGAATGTGAAAGTGTCCACCCTGTTCTCATCCATTTATATTGACCTCGTGTTGATCATTTTAGTTGTCGCCGCAAAATGGATTGTTGACAACGAATAATCCGCGGCTCGATCGCGGTCCATGTTGTGAACATGTGACATATTTTGCGTTCTAACAATCTCGAGTCGTCCATAGGGCACACAGTGCGAAAAGGATGTGGGTGAGAATGTGGGTGTGGACAAGGATTTCGATAGAGAGAAGACATCCACCCTACATCACCATAGTATGGAAAAGGGTGAAATTGAAAATATATGTTCAAGTTGCTATATTTATGAAATCAGATGAAAAAGTTATCCAGAAACGTTTATCTTTGCTTTATATGATTACTGTATGATTAAAAGTTTCTTTCAACGCCAAATGATAATATCTTCATCTTCATCAATAACAATTTTCGATGAGGAATAATGATTACCTTTCGAACGAATATGTTCTGTGAGAAGTGTCAAAAGTACTTCACGAGTTGTGTAAGACCGACTTCGATGATAAGCACAAAATCTATTCACATGTAATGTGATAAATTTTGATGAAGAAAACATGAGAGCATCGAAACATGAGAGAATCTGAACTGCAAGTGATTTCGGTCGATTAAGTGAATAACCACGCCCATTAAATGAAAGATATTGAAGTTGAGGAAAAGCTTTGTGTGTCGGTAATTGTTTAATGAAACATGCAGATGGAAAGTCCCGATATGATTCTATATAAATATTAAGTTGCCGCACGAATGGCCAAGGTGATGAAGAGTGTTTGAGAAGAAGTTCAATGTTAGATATGTATAGCGACAAACACTCAAGGGCAGAGGCACATTTCCGAAATTGTTCCAGAATAAAGCAACGATAATAATTCGATGTTGTAGATCGATAAGACGATACCCCAGATTTGATTGGATTTGAATCAAAATTAAGTTTGAGAGAATGTAAAAATGGAAGACATACACGCCAAGAATTGATGTTTATATTCATTTCCTAAATAATCTATAGAAATGAAAATGTTCATAAATTAATATTGATATTTACTTGAATATCAACGGATAAAACAAGCGAATTCACATGTTGAAAATGAGTAAGAGTAGTATCGATAGATAAAGGATCACGATCAACTATCCATTCAATATGATCAATACTTTTATTAATTGTTGCTTGCCGTCCAAACGTATGATTATATACCTGTCTTTGACTGTTTAATGGATATGGAACTGTGTAAAGTATCATCATTCTATCGATCTCATATTCAACACTTTGATGACTTAAATTAAACCAATAGAGATCAGGATTTTCAAGCTTGGTTTCACCGGGTAAATAAAGGAGGAAGCGAAGACAATGCAGACGAATCATAAAATTTGTAATACAGCTTTTAAATGCAACAAGTTCATTCTTATCTGAAAATAAAGAGAAACGAATGAGTGTTATTATCACCTATAATCTCGATCTTCTAACCTTTAACATTACAATTTATCAAAATCAATGATTTAAGTTGACACATTGATTTTACATGTTGTATCAATACAATGACATTGCTCATGGCGATTTGTCGCAATTGTAATGCGCGTAAATGTGGTAGATTGGCTTCAGTTGTGTTCAACACATCAGGACATAAAATAGGACAATATGCATTTTCATACCGACTATCTAATTGATATGAATTATATATTCCAGTTTCCATTGTAAGATGAAGATCTTCTATATGCGGTAAGGTATTACATTGCAGCAATAATGCTAAATCAGATGTATGTTGTATCGAGATACGCAAACGAACAGTTTTCGGAAATGTAAANNNGGTAGATTGGCTTCAGTTGTGTTCAACACATCAGGACATAAAATAGGACAATATGCATTTTCATACCGACTATCTAATTGATATGAATTATATATTCCAGTTTCCATTGTAAGATGAAGATCTTCTATATGCGGTAAGGTATTACATTGCAGCAATAATGCTAAATCAGATGTATGTTGTATCGAGATACGCAAACGAACAGTTTTCGGAAATGTAAATATTTCATTACAATCAATAGCACAAGCGGCTAAAGAACTCGTCCATTTAAAATACCTGTGGTCTAAAAACAAGATAAGATTAAGTTTCAAAGATAGTTATTGAAAAGTCAAAAATCTTTTCTTTGGAAAAAGAAATAATTCAATACCTTCAATCATGATGAATTGCATGGTATGTAGAGAAATACGTTCTTCGGTGAACATTTTCATTATCCAGTAATACCTATCGATTTTGGTAAAATAAAAGATAATATGACGTAAAATCAATGCGTGTCGACCAATGAGTCGAATAATATTCCCTCGATCAGGTCTGCTCAGAAGATTCATATAAACGGTACATTTTCGGAGACGTGGAAGAAAAGATTTTTCATTTTCATGCCATTGACTAAGAATTTCATTTGATACAACTGATTCATTGAGCAGAAGAGAAGTTATACGACAAGCTATAAGTGGATGTTCATGTTCCAAATAATACAACCATTCGCCATATGTTATAAACGACAATGATGAAAGTGACAAAGCAACTCGATTCTGCGCTATCTGAACCAACGAATGAATGCGCCTATTAAGTTTCCATTGAAACCATGTTGAATTTAATTCCGATCGTGTGAAATAGACGGAAAGTTCGAGCCACAGTTCATTGGGTAGATCTTCTAATCTGGTAACAGTCATAACACTTGACGCCAATTATCTTGACATATCATAAGAAAAATGAATAGCTATGTATAGATAGAGAGGACAAAGGTCACGGATAGACAGCAAATAAAATTAAAAAGAATTAACGAATGAAATCGCTAGAAATGTTCAATTTGAGCAATTCCATTCGTTAGCTGTTTAATCTTTTCTGTCGGTATGTTCTCAAACAATGATCGCCCATCCATGACAGGAAAGTAATGCATACTCTTTTATTATTATTTCAATCTCCGACTACCAAAATATCTTCACTTGCATTACAAATAACACACATGGAACTCAACATATACACTTGGTAACTTTATGTCAAATAAAACTCATTTTCAACAACCAAACTTGCTGATCAGAAAACAACATGATCTTTACCGTATACACGTGCGTTCCATTAAAGAGATGATCTCTCTTGTGGAGTATGTCATGGNATGCATACTCTTTTATTATTATTTCAATCTCCGACTACCAAAATATCTTCACTTGCATTACAAATAACACACATGGAACTCAACATATACACTTGGTAACTTTATGTCAAATAAAACTCATTTTCAACAACCAAACTTGCTGATCAGAAAACAACATGATCTTTACCGTATACACGTGCGTTCCATTAAAGAGATGATCTCTCTTGTGGAGTATGTCATGGGGATGTTCAATGAGCCACTGAATAGAAGATAAACTTGCTAATCGAGTGGACATTTAGTGAGCTGTAATTCATGTTTAAACTTTAAAAAAAAATTTTTCAATACTTTTGGAATCTGTTGGATGTGAGATAGTTAAAGTACGATCCTTGTTGACAATGTACACTGTACGTTTGTTTGGAAAACTATAAGAATATAGCATAATAAACATTGCTGAAGTATTTCTAGTGAAAACTCAAATGAATCATATGATCAGGATATATCTGATTGATGGTCTTGATTGTATTAATGTAACGCAAAGTATTCGTTAAATTCCTATCGTTTTCTTAACCTTTCATTTTGATTACAACACTAAGATATTAGTTCTTAGTGACATCTTTGTAGTAAAATATCTATAGCGACGATTGTTGTGAAGAACGAAATTCTACTATTCTTTGTACAACAATGGTTTGAATGAGCAGTCATTCTGTTCCGCAATGCTGAACACTTGGGAACTTGTTTCGCTCGCGGAATCGAAGGAGTTCATTATGGAGATGGAACTGATTCCACAATGTGCAGCGTTGAGGAACACGATGTATTCTCTTAAATTTGTTTTGTTGTATCCAGATTTTCAATGCCTTCAAAAATCAAAAATGTTCCGATTGAAGAAGCATCAATTGATGCAATTTTGTCAACTCCAGGCATTTACACATGTATTGCGGTGCTTATTATCTTGAATGACAATCGAGTGTTTATATTCCACTCAGATCCAACTTGCATTGATTTGGGAAACGAAGATTTTATGGAATATGAAATTCAGAAATTGATCAAAGATTCTATTTCATTGTTCACAAAACGTGAAAATAAAAAGAGTTCATGCTTTAGAAGTATTTTCATAATTGGTGGCGCAAGCAATGAGAAATATAAAAAATTCAACAGTGAATTAAATAGAATGAAAGCGAACCATAGTTCACTCACGTCAATGATCGATGAATTGAATGTTGATGCTTTAAAAAATTTTATTATATGCATTGTCTATTCGAACACAACTTTTAATTTGTATGGTGGTAACGCAGATGCAGCGCAGGGGAATGTAAGTCATTTCCGATACAACAATACTTGCCGACCTTACAGTATCACCACCATTACTGTTTCTCGCTCAGTATTACGATCTAGAGAGAAATCTGTATGGTGATCCTCGAAGAATAGAACTACACTTTTTTTCAACATACAACTTTGATAGCAAATCGTGGATTATCATTAAAAATCAACTATCTCGTTTTCAAACAACTTAATGATAATCCATTAATTGATGATGTACAATACACCAAAGATGACTTGATGAATTATCTCTCAAGGATTCAGCATCAACCTTTTACTTCTTTTGACTGAATTTTTTAAATATTTTGATAAAAAACATTTTTATTCCTCAACTCATTAGATAAATCTTTTTTAGCTGCGAGATACATCATATAAACCTATTTTTATCATTACCTCAGTTGATTATTGCTTGATTTTTGGTTGTATGAAATCATTTCGACGATCGTGGTTCTTAATGGCTTATTTTCTCTCGTTTATTCATGCTCTAGTTTCATTCATAACATTCGTTCTACCCCAAAAAAATACAAATTTTTTTTCTGTGCATGTCGACAGTCTGAACGACTTTGGATCATACATTAAAATAATTCATTATTTCAACTTCTCATAGATGAGTTACAAAAAAGTTCACTTTGACATTAATCAAGCAAATTACGGCTACTATTAATGCCATTATTAGATTGGATGATTTCATTGAGGAACTGTTGTACAAATTTATATTACAACAGTATACAGTGACCTCATCGACAGACGGTGCCGCAGGTGTTGAAAGAGAAAGACTCCATTTTGTTGTAGATCATGGCATCTCATAAAGAAAGTTAGAACTGCTAACTACGGTGTAGAGATGAAATTGTTTTCTCTGTCATACTTGCTACTTACCATACAAACAAGATTCGAACTGTCAAAAATAAGGAGCACTCCACTGCCTTTCGGATCAAACAACCATTAACACCTCCGTTGTAGATGTAACATTTGAGAGTAGACACAGATTGGTGAAGAACTAAACGTTCCACAAAATATTTTATTGAACGTCATCTTATTCACCACAGTTACAAAATAAGATGTTGTTCCTTTATGTTAAAGAATGTGAAAGTGTCCACCCTGTTCTCATCCATTTATATGAGTTTGAGGCTCGTTCTTGTAGTCGGCGAAAGCAGGATTGTCGTCAGAGAGCAATCGTGGAATCGATGAATGATGTGAGCGAGTGAGTTGTTTTGCATTCTGTGTGTAGGAAGATCGACTGATCTTCGTGTCCATTCATTTTTAACACAAGAGATATCATTGCTCACTATAATAGCATACACAACTTCTGATAATCAATTTGTTGAAATTGAGAAGATTTAACTTGAAAACTCGACAGTTTACTATACTTTATAGCAAAATAAAAAACGGTGTCTTACATTTGTTTTTCTCGAGTCATTTTGCCCTGTGATTTATATTTCTTGTATTGTATCGAATACTTTGAATACTATGATGTTGATTTGTAATGTTTGATCACCTAATCGATAACAATTTAATGTTTTTTTTTTCTTTTTCTAAACGAATAAATGATATTTAATGTTTGATAATTTGCCGGAGGCGTTTTATCAATCAACGCTTCATTAAATTCAAACTCCATTACCTGTATAAATACAATCATATTCAACATAACAGAGTTATTTTACTCAAAAACAAGACAATTATGGGCAACGAAATTTTACAAAGTCACTCTGCAACATTGGGCGATGGAGGTCAGTTCTTAGACTTTTTTGTTTAGAAAAAAAAACGACTAATTGATTTAGAAATTGCTGCATTGAAAGCGAATTCAACATTAAGTGAAAAAGGTACAAAAAATATGCGAATCTTTATGTAAAATTGTTCTTTCTAATTTAAATTTTAGAAATTCGAGAGATATACGAAGTAAGTTCAGAGAACACTCAGAAGAGAGAGATTTTCTATTTTTTCTTCTCAGGAATTTCAAAAAAGTGGTGGAGCAGGTGATGGAAAGATCAGCAAAGATGAATTTCATCGATATTATAAGAAATCAGCTGGATGTGACGATGAAGATGGAATCTTAGCAAAGTAAGATTTGTTATTCACATCGATTTTGACAAATTTATTTGAAGTAATACATTCTCGGCATTCGATACCAATCATGATGGTCATATCAATTTCACTGAATTTGTCTTCGCAATTTTGGCACAAAGCAAAACTGATATCAACAGTATTTTAGACTTTTCTTTCGAAATGTAAGTTTTCTCTGTGAGAAATATTGAAAATAAAAAGGTTTTGATTTAGAATGGACACATCAGGTGATGGACTGATCAGTTTCGATGAATTGAAAAGTTATTTGGAAAAAGCGGTAAGACCAACAGAAGAATATTGACAAAAGAATTTCGTTATTTTCTTTAGACAATCTTAGCTGTTGGACATGAAGAAGCATCGACAATCGATACAAATCGAACTGCTGAGAACATCTTTCAAGAATTTCGA